GGACTTAATACTATATAGCGTTCTCTCGCAGTCAACCTTTGGCGAAACAGAAATTTTATTATGCGGTGAAAAAAATTATAACACATACAATAGAGAACTACTGCACATTATGATTATATTAAAATACATACACGAATACATTAAACAAATATAATATAATAAAAATACATACATATTAATATAAATATACATATATAAATATACCTACATACTTATAGATTATATACGATAACACAAATAAACAACGATAGAGATCAAAAGTGATGATGATGAAGATGATGATGAAGATGATGAATTGCTTTCACAGTTTTTTCCAAAGATATTCGTAGACTTTTCTCTTAAAAATAAATTTGTTAGACGTTTGTCTTATGTCCATGGGTAGCGCATTTCAGAATCGTGAGGTCTCAAGAATGAAGGAATTTCAGTTTTATCCAATCATAAACGTTTGTCGATTCTTACTATGTTTTACGATTTAAACACTACGTGAATGATGTACAAGTAAAATTTATGATTCCTTCAGCTCGTGTTCCTAACTTCATTGTTACATTCTATGGATTAATATACTGCTAGAAGGTTTACATATAACAAAACTGTCGCAAAATTTACCCAAATTTCTCTATACCTATTTATTTTTCTCCAGCAATGTCATTTCTCCAAAATTTAGCAAAGAGAAATTTTTTTATCACAAATTACCGAAAAATACCCTATATGGCAACACTGTCATCAATAGCGACTAGATAAAGCCTCGACAACTAAAAACAATCTGAAATAAGTCACTCAGTTTTATTATCATACTTCTTACTAAATACAAATTGTAATTGTTAAAGTTTGTACATAAAAACCATTTTTTTTAATGGGATGACAGATGAAGATGAAAGTAACTCAGTTAGCCCATCCTGACGAATTAAACTAGAATTAGTCACGATGGTTTCCAGGGGAACCACGTGGAGGTCAACCTGACATTATATTGCCAGTAATAGGGCTATTTGACCCTATTACTAACAATCCCTTTCCCCCCACATAAAAACCATTATAAAATCCCATTACGAATCAGGAAGGTGTAGGAGTACCTTCTATTAAATTCTATGTTAACGTGCATATCTATGAATCCATAGGTAGTCAAGTGAAAAAATATTTACGAAAGTGTTTGTAAACATTATTACCAAGAGTGCGTTTATATTACACCAAATAAAATAGTGGGTTAAACCTTCCGACTCGTGGAACAAGTAATATTCCATTTATGTACACAAACTTGATATTCCAGGAATAGATGGCTTTATATGGGGAAATATTTGTTCAGATTACAACTAAATCCGGCTACGACGGAATCCCAAATAAATAAGCACCAATTCAATGCATCCAATATAAAATATGGATTTAAAAATTGCATTTTAAAGCTACCTATTAAAATATTTTAAATCGTTAAAAAATAGAATCCATATTCGACGTTTTAAAAATGAATAATCTGAGGATCTACCATTAAATGTTTTCCAAAATTTCGAGATCGAACCAAACACTAATTTGATGTTAAAATTGCATAATACATACCATTCATAAATATTAAAAATGTTAAAATATCGTTCCTTTTGACTTTTATGGTAGGATTATAGCTACTACATATATATGTATATTAGGTAGCTTAATATTTGATGGCTCGTCATAAATCATAAAATATTAAGCTTCATATACTGGGCTGATTATAGTATGAACGAAAACATGAAATTGATTCAGAAAATTCGGAATTTCATTTCATAGGTAGGGTAGGGTAGGGTAGTAGTATACCCAACCAGGTCGCGGTTCCCCTTGGAAACTATCATGGTTAATTCCCGATGAATTCATCATGATGGGCTAACTGGCCTGTTTTCATTCTCATCTATCACCCTTCACCGGTGCTCCGCCAGCGTATCCCGTTAGCGCAGGCGGGGTTACCATACCATTTTCACCCATAAAAAAGAAAAAAAAAAAAAACCATGATAGTTTCCAGGCGGAACCGTGTGGTGGTCGACCTGACAGGGTATATTGCTAGCAATGGGAATGTTACTTCGCATTACTAACAACCCCTTCCCTCCCATAAAACGAGGTCGGCCACGAGAACAATAATACGATCATTAAATTAGAATTCAAAATGTCCGTCTTGCAGTGTTGTTTACGCAAACGTCAATAATATTCAATTATTCCTCGTAAATCTGCGTGATAAACTTGTCATGAATGTATCGTTTTAGATATAGGTCACACAAGATATTGTAGTTACTAACTTTGGGCAATTAGATACATTTTGCAATGTCGAGTCTAAGTAGGTAGCTATTTAGAGCAAACCCCTTTACATAGTAACATTCTATTTGTGATACCCTTAGTAATATTGTAAATGTGAAAGTGAGTTTGTTTGTTTGTTTGTTACCTTATATCGCCCTAACAGTTTAACTAGGGGGGGGGGGAAGGGATTGTTAGTAATGGAGACTGAGAATCCCATTGCTAGCAATATACCCAACCAGGTCGACCTCCTCGCGGTTCCCCTGGAAACTATCATGGTTAATTTCTGATGAATTTATCTAACAGGGCTAACTGGCCTGTTTTCATTCTCATCTATCACCCTTCACTGGTGCTCCGCCAGCGTATCCCGTTAGCGCAGGCGGGGTTACCATACCATTTTCACCCATCAAAAAAAAAAGACTTACCTCGATCACGCGTACGAACTTGCGAATCGAAACTAGTGACATTTAAAAACAATTATTATTGACACTGGCAATTTAGTTTTAATTTTATCAATTTAAATGATTTATGTGCGCCCGTAAACATTACACGATAACTTTTAACCGCTGGGAGATATCAAAAATTATGTGCAAAACCACTGGTAGGCTGACAAGAAATCAATGTTATTAATATAATACATTGAACGATCTATATAAGCAACTCGCTTGAACCAATTTCAATAAAAAAAATCTATACAGTGGATTTCATTTATTACGACCTTGGTTGTAGCGACCATTTGCCTATAGCGACGTTAAATCTAAGCCCTTTGAATTTAAAACCTACTTTAGTACAAAATTCATGTGGCTTATAGCGACTTTGGATGTAACGCCGAGTTCGGGTGTAGCGACTGTTTTTAATGAATCATTTGTAACAAATTCCTAGAAATCCAATGCAGATATTGCGACCGAAATTGGCCGCTAAAGAGACACCAAAATTTCGTTTTTTCACAAACATTTCTAACCTTTTGTTTACATCCACACAGATGGTCAACAAGTATGGAGACCTTAACCTATTGTTTATAAATATTAGCTACGTATGTAGGGAAGCGTGTACGTTTCGCGGTTAAATTTATGGTTCAGTTACAAAGTGATATTCTAAGTAGCAACTGAGTTTAGTAAACTTTTGGATAAGTATGACTGCCTCGACGCACATTCACTGTTAAAGAAAAGGCGGAAATCATTTCAAAATGAAAAACGGTGAAAACAATGCTGATTTTCGAAGAAAAAACTATACATGTGTACGTGCCTGTATCTCTTTACTTTTGCCTGTAACGACTTCCGGATATAACGACGAAAATAGAGTGGTCCCTTCATCGTCGTTATACCTGAAATCCACTGTATATAGAAGACCATATTAAATAATCAACATGATACAATACCGTCCTTTGCCTCTAAAAGCTCCAATTAAAAGAAAAAAACGATGCCAACGACAGGTGACGGCCAAGGCACGTGCGGACGATGCCTTCCTAATTTACTACACTTTTTTTTTAAAAGACCCAAGGGGACCATACGGTGTTTAACAAGTACAAAGTTCAAGTTACCAAATGCTTATGCAGCCGTGACGAGCTCCGTGAGACTATAGAACTATCAAAACTCAAAATTGTATATGAAACTAGTCTCGCGCCACGGCTTTGGATGCTTTTACTTGCTGATAATTATTTTTATTGCTTTCTCTTTTTATTTGATAATGATTGGTTTTTAAATATAATAATTATAAATAATCAAATATTTCTTGTTTATAATATTAAGTATACATAAGCAACAAGTTTTAATTCCACACTACTACTGAAGGTAGCACCCTCTAGTATTAAAAGTTTCTAGACCGTAATTATTCTTTTTATTGTTATATATATATATATATACTACCTACTATATATTATTTTTATTTTCGTGTATATAATATCTATAGTATATTTTGTGTAAATATATTTATATGTAAATTTTAGTACATATATCAGTAATTACTAGTACCGCATTCGAGTATTCTGACACTTCTCTATGGTTGACTGGGAGAGAATGCTTTCAATATTAAGTTCGCCATGTACATATACTAATAAATAAATAAATAAGTAATAGAAACACAAACACTCCAAGAATTGTATTCCCAGTTAAATTACACTGAAATAGTAAAAAATAAGACATTTTCAATGAAATAAAAGCAATTTGGAATTAAATTGAAAAACACCTAGTATTAACATCTTTGTCCAGGGGGAAGAGATTGACAGTAATGTGGACTACCAGTCCCATTGCTAGCAATATACCCCATCAGGTCAACCTCTACGTGGTCTCCCCTGGAAACCACCGTGCTGAATTCCAGGTGTAATCATCATGATGGGCCAACTGTCCTGCTTTTTCATTCTCACCTATCATACCTCACTGGTGTCCCGTCAACGTATACCATTAGCGCAGATGGGGTTACCATTCCATTATAATCCATTAAAAAAAAAATAACAAACAAAACTACATAGGTGTGATATCTAAATCTTTGTTACCTTTGTTGAAATTGAAATAAAAAAAATATATAAACAAATACCTAAGATACCTATTTGATTTTATATTTATTTAAGGTAGGTAGGTACCTATTAGCAATATCTTTCTTGTAAATTTCATTTATTTACACATAAGCCACAGAGTAAATAACAACTTTCTATGTTTACCAACAAATCCGAAGGTAGAATAAAATTCATTCGTTCTATCACTAAATCCATTACTCGAAAATATATTAAAACTTAAAACACAAAAAACACTTACCAAATAAATAGAAATCCGTATAATCACAAACAAAACAGTTCGCACACACGAAATAGTTTCACATTTGGATATTAACACACGACCATATGGTATGAAGTCTCTTTAACAACTAGTCAACTATGGACAAGTATTGAAGCGAACGTACGCTGGACGGAAGCACGGAAGCGCTAGAACCGCGTGGCGTCTTCCTTTGCTGCGCTCAGTTATTGCAATGCATGGCTCGTGCATTCACACAGTACCTATACAATTCGTCGTTACGGAGTGAAATTCGTATTGTATTCAATTAATAACATGTTTTATTGTCGTTTATTTATCTATACGTTTACGATTATGTAATTGATAGCTGAGATATGTAGTTTACCAGAGGGAGACTTTGTACAAAAGTCGTTTGCTTGGGCACCTCTTTCTTATTCGTGTTTCAACCGTAAAGCAGTTGTGTTTGCATGGCTGTGTTTCGCTTTGAAGGGTGGGATATGGCGTTAATTTACAGGGTACAGAGGAATAACACGTGAGTCCCCAGGAATGGCAACGCATGAGGGGTATCATGGGCGAAACAGTATACTCTATAGGCGACGGTTACCACTTTCCATCAGGTGGGCTATCAGCTTGTTTGCCATTCTAAGTTGTATAAAAAAAAAGCTTCTGGTGGACTTATTTACATTTTGACATTTGTTTATAGTTAATTAATTATTGATATATATTAATTATATACAAAATTTTATATATATTATATAAAAATATGTGAAAAATATAATCTATCTATTATATACACACCTTATATCTACGTGCTATAAATATCAAAAACAAGCCCTTAAAAAATTACTTAAAGATAAAAAAAAATCTTTGAGATCACTGCCAACTGGTAGGGGTACCTAGAGATTTACTGCATTTCCACGCTGAATAGCTTCTGGTTAACCTGTTATGAATCATAGTCTTGCAAATCGTACATACAATGTGATTGTTTGTCACAAAAAAAAACCGACTTAAGCCTAACTGGTGTCGGTTTTCTTCTTCTAGTGAAATTTTAATTAGATTTAAATAAAGTACATTGAATATAGTGGATGGGGATAAATAAAAACTGTCTTACAAAAAAAAAAAACAATTTTAAATGTGATAAACCCCGTAATTTCGATTTTAAAACTTAATTAATGAACCGATTTTGAAAAAATGATTATGGGATCAATTTAAAAGTGTGATCCTTTAAGATAAAAAAATATTTTTCCAAATCGGTTTAGAACTTATAGAGTTATGAGGTTAATATACATAAAACAAAATACACCAGAATTGGGTACCTCCTTTTTGAAATCGGTTTAAAATACAAACGGGTTGTTTTGAAAAAAAAGTAAATGACAGCGAATTGTTAATAATACGGCGGACACAATTCCCATTGCTAGCAATATACCCTAAGATGCCGATGTCATGTATTTATCACGATGGGCTAACTGACCTGCCTTTTCATAATCAATTACTCCGGCAGCGTATAGGTACCGTTTTTTTTTAATGGGAGATAATGGTATGATAACCCCGTCTGCGCTATCGGTATACGCTGGCGGGGCACTAGTGTGGGATGACTGATGAGAATGAAAGCAGGTCAGTTAGCCCATCCTGACGAATTCTACTAGAATTAGCCACGACGGTTTATAGGGGGAACCACGTGGAGGTCGACCTGACAGGGTATATTGCTTTATCATATATATATATAGTAATGGGGCTATTTGATCCCATTACTGACAATCCCTTTCCCCCCAGCGTATACAGTTAGCGCAGACGGAATTACCATCCACTCTCACCCACAAAAAAAATATGACAACACATGGTTTTTTGATGGCTGGATACGTGATCAGAGCACTGGATTTTTCATACCAACTACTTATACCTCGATAACTAAACGTATGTTGGAGGAATGGGAATTATTAGTAATGGGAGTAGAGGCTCCATTGCTAACAATAAACCTTATAAGGTCGACCTCCACACAGTTCTCCCTGGAAACCATCTTGATTGTTTTTTTATGAATTCATCACTATGTGCCAACTGACCTGCTTTCATCCTCACCTATCATCCCTCACTGGTGCCCCGCCAGCGTATACCGTTAGCGCAGGCGGGGTTACCATTCCATTATCATCCATTAAAAAAAAAACTAAATATATGTCAGACTGGGAAATATTTTTTTTATAAATAGCAATTAATTAGATTTATCAAAAATGTACCTAAAAATTTGGCCTCGTTACCATTTTAATATATACAGATAAGTAGAGTGCAAACATATTTTAATAACAACTAAATTATTTAAATAGTCGAATTATATGAAAATAACGGTGAAGAGAGCAATCCCTCCCCTCGTGGGGGGTGGGGGGGATGGATTGTTAGTAAAGAGTTTTAACAGCTTTATTCCTAGCAAAATACCCCTATCAAGTTTTTTTTTTTCAACTTAGAATGGCAAACAAGTTGCCGGTCCACCTGATGGAAAGTGGTCACCGTCGCCTATAAACATGAGCAGTACCATGGACATAACAGAGTATACTGTTTCGCCCATGATACCCCCATGCGTTGCCATTCCTGAGGATTACCTCTTATTCCTCTGTACCCTGTAAATTCACTGCCATATACCACCCTTCAAATCGAAATACAGCTATGTAAACACAATTGCTTTACGGTTGAAACGCGAATGGGGCAGAGGTACCCAAGCAAACGACTTGTACAAAGTCTGCCTCTGGTAAAAGTCTCTACGGAGGTCCCCTGAAAGCTTTCGTAGTTAATTCTCGTCGAATTCTTCACGATTGGTCAACTGGCCTGACTTCATCCTCACCTATCATCCGTCAGTAGTACTCCGTCTCCGTATGCTTACCGACAGAACACACAGGGTAATAATTCCATTTAATTCTTCAAAAAACTGGCCAAGTGCAAGTACAATTCTCGCACCGGGAATTCCGTACAAATTATTATTAAAAAAAATGCAATAACATATATATGTATGATACATAAACTTGAAAATTTTCTCCTCAATGTCGGTTGACATAGAAAAATAGCTATTTACATATACATACATATTATATACAGTTTGTCGACAGGAGTTTGACAGCTCCATTGCCAGAAATATACCCTATTAGGTCGACCTCCATGTGGTTCCTCCTGGAAACCATCGTGAACAATTCTTTTTGAATTCGTCACGATGGACTAACTGGCCTGCTTCATCCGCACCTATCATCTCTCACTAGTGCCCCGCCAGTGTATATCGATAGCGAGGGTAGAGTTACCATTCCATTATCATCCCTTTAAAAAAAACACTGTTAACTGTGTTTGTTTTATAATTATGTTTTATAAAACTGATATGAAGAAATGCAAAGAGAAACAAAGCATACACAAATATGACTCTGCCTCTCTTTGCATCTTCTACCGTCTGTATAACGTATTATGTTCCGAAGAACTCTTCAATATGATGTTTACAACTGCCTTTTACCATCGTACCGTTCGCCATCGGCAGGGAATCCAGCCTCACACCTTAGTACCAGAATGATTACGCACAGTACGATTTCAAAGAAGGTTCCTCCCGCAAATATTCAGGTTGTGGAATGTATATTCTGCCGAGGGTTTCCCTAGAGACTACAGCATAAGGTTATTCAAAAAGAACGTATTAAGGTCTCTTAAAGGACGGCAACGCGTGCGTGACATCCCTGTTGTTACAGACGAACATAGGCTACGGTAACTTCGTTTACCATCAGATTGGTCGTATGCCTGTTTGCTACCATAAAAATGTCAAAAGTATAAAGTAAGTATTAATAAAATTGTCAAAATATTTTCCTCGAGACTGAATTCTCGATCGTTTTGTTGAAATGAAACAGTATTATCACAAAGTTATGACCTTTGCTGAATATTAAAAAAAGAAAAAAAAAAAGCATTATCTATGATAAAACTAATAACAGTAATAACAAAGGTGACAACTTTTGCGACCACGGCAGCTGTACCTTTGTGTGTACCACCCCTTAATATTTTTACAATGAATTTTTAACCTTCCTCCTAGACAATAAGATGCAATTGTTATTCCGAATAATAAATCCTGTTCAAAGTCGGATGCGACTTGAATATCTCGATTTGATTTGGGGTTATGTTCAATGTTGTGGGAACACCTGGCGACTCATAATGTGTGTTTAATGATTAATAAAAAAAAATGCTGTAAAATTGAAATGTTGCTAGAATTTTAATACATACTGAAATAATAATAATTGAGAGGAGGAAATGAAATAAGGAATGGTCGCCGCCTATGTAAAATATTTTTAACTGTGCTAATTTAATAGTACGCACTGGTGGGTTACCAGTAAGGGATAATTGGACAGGATCAAGTCAGGCTAGTTACCCGATAGTGACAAATTTACCGAGAATTAACCACGATAGTACTTATGTAAATTTAACAAAGCCATATTTGAATCATATAAAAATAATAATCGTTACGTGTTTGGGAAGATACTTACGTAAGGGGAGGCCGGGTAGACCGTGCCTACCTCAGTCTGATGACCACCCCAGGATTAAGAACGGAGCTTTCAGTTATGGGCAGATTTGTTTATAGCCCCCTTCCTTCTAGAAAATAATTTAAAATATGCCAATGATAACTAGTTATATCAGAGGCCTTATGTCATTGTAAATTAATGGGATACTGCGAGTGTACAGTGAAGGAGTCCTTGTAACTTTTTATATCAGCGTGCACTACTTTAATACAAGTAGCAGCATTTGGTAGCATTAACATTTTAGCATATTTAATTACGAAATTTAAATTTCATGTACGTATCATAAGTGATAGGAACGTGGTCATAAATGTCAATGTCACTACGTAGTTATGTCAAATTTAAGGTGTCACTGTCAGTTGTCATTCTTGCTATTCTTGTCATGTTGTTGTCAGTTTGACTGGTGATGTGATTTGATATGGTTTGAAAAATTACTTAAAATTAACCAAACATGCCAGGAGTTTGTACAGAAATTATTGACGATATTGAAGATTTAATATCATCTCAAGACATTACACCGAAAGAAAGATATGCTAGCAGAAAAAATGTGAATGCACGGAGTAAAAAACGGGAGGTGAAGGATACCGAAGCTGCTGAAAAAATTATATTAGAAAGTGTTGTGCCAGGTATTGTAACCTAAAAACTTTATTTATATTTATATTTTGTGAAAAACGTATGAAGTTTTGAACAACAATACTCTATTTTATGCATTATTTCCTTTTTCTATTTGGAGGAATGTAAAACGAAACTAGGATAAAATAAAAACTACAGCATATAGTTTATTTATTATACTAGTGGCATTAACCAATCTTTTTGTAAACTATTTTATTATTAATTAATAAAATCTATGTTTCTATGTAAACTTATTTGCTCATTCTAAGGGTAGGTCAAGTAAATAGCGTGGAGTGTTTTTGTCAATCAAATACAGAGAGAGAAAGAATACTCCTTATTTTCTGTAATGTAGTGAATGTATCCAGTAAATTGTATTTGGGACACATTAAAAGGCATACTTATATTCTTGTCTGTAGGCTCTTTGAACCGGCCATAAAATTTTAATTAAAAAAAATTATTTCTTGGTTGATTGACGAATTGTTGATTAACTTTGTGTTAATTTCTATAATCAGGGTTTTTTTACACAAACTTAGAATGGAAAACAAGCTGACGGCCCACCTGATGAAAAATTGAAACCATCGCCTATAGACATGAGCAGTGCTATGGACATAATAGAGTATACTCTTTTACCCATTATACCCCCCATGCGTTGCCATTCTTGAGGACTCAGTTGTTATTCCTCTGTACCCTGTAAATTCACACCATATCTCACCTTTCAAACTGAAACACAGTCATGCAAACACAACTGCTTCACGGTAGAAACATGAATGGGACAGAGGTACCCAAGCAATCGACTTTTGTACAAAATCTTCCTCTGGTAGTAATAAAATATAAAATGTTTTCAGGAACTCAAACAATTTATGTGAAAACATGGGGCTGCGCACACAACAACTCAGATTCGGAGTACATGGCGGGGCTGCTGGCAGCACACGGGTACCCCCTCACAGAGGACAAGTGGCAGGCACAGCTGTGGCTGCTTAACTCTTGCACCGTGAAGAGTCCCTCTGAAGACCACTTCAAGTTAGTTTTTCAACTGTTCATATTAAGTGAGGAGGTGTTCATACAACTGTAATTTTACACCTACTACTCTCTGGTTGAGTGGCAGTATGTAATCTATATGAGATAAAGTAATTTGGATTTTTGAAAAGTCTTTCTTAGTAAATAATTTATATTATCAAAAACATATTAACTTGCCACCTTCTTTTGTTAATATGAAACAGTCTAGAGTACATATTGGAAAATAAACTTATATATTCCCATTTATACATATATTCTCATCTATTATTACTATTACAATAATAATGTATAAATAATTTAATAATAATTAATTTAAAAATAATTTATAATTCTGTAATTTATTAATGAAGTGATTATATATATATTTAAATTAATTATATATGTATATATATATATATATATATATATATATATATATATATATATATATATATATATATATATATATATATATATACACTATATATATTTTTTTCTAAATTAGAATGTGACTTATAATTTTGTAAATTATGAATAAATGATCAGTATTTAATTAGGTATAAAGTTTCACTGAAATTTGTTTAGTTATTTGCTAATGATAAGTTATGTTACAGACAGGCAAATATTAATTATAAATTTTTTATACTAATCAGAACAAGAAATCCTTGACCTACTTGAAAATGGCAACTGTTCCCTATAGATGTGAAAACCACCAAGGAAATTATAATATATCCTGTAATTTTGTTTGTATACAGAAACGAGGTGGAGCTGGGCCGCAGCCGCGGCATCCACGTGGTGGTGGCGGGCTGCGTGCCGCAGGGCGCCCCCCGCGCGACCTACCTGCAGGGACTCAGCGTCGTCGGCGTCCAACAGATCGACAGGATCGTCGAGATCGTTGAGGAGACGCTTAAAGGTAACCAGGGTTTTTTTTTAATGGGTGAAATGGTATGGTAACCCCGCCTGCGCTAACGGGATACGCTGGCGAAGCACCAGTGAAGGGTGATAGATGAGAATGAAAACAGGCCAGTTAGCCCATCATGATGAATTCATCAGGAATTAACCATGATAGTTTCCAGGGGGGACCGCGAGGAGGTCGACCTGGTTGGGTATTCTCAGTCTCCATTACTAACAATCCCTTTCCCCCTGGTAACCAGGGGTTTACAGGGATCATAATATTTATATATATAACATTTTGTATAATTCACTAATGATTTTTTTTTATATTATGGCTCAATTAGGGCTCCAATGATTATGCGAATGTCAAGGTTGGAAAAGACACTGCAATTATGTCACTGAAATGATAAAATTTCCTTGTTTGTGTTCATTGAATATCTAAAAACAAAGTAAGAAACGTAAACTTTGAGGACATCACAAATATAAAGAAAATCATTACTTAAATTGGGAGGTAATATGACTATTAAAAGTTTTTATCTACTATCTACACCAGGGCTTATTCAACAAGAATAGTTTATGATAGTTAAAGGAGATATAATTTTTTGACATATTTTTTTTTTATATATATACTAGCTGACTCAGCAATCGTTTTACCAAATACATTATTTCGGGAACTATACATGAAAATTTATCCTACTACAATTATTATATTCGATTGTTATCTTGTAAGCCTATTGCGCCATATAAAAATCGCGATTAAAAAATAAGGGTTGATCGTAAAAGGGTAAAAAATTTAATTTGTATGTATTTTTCAATGCTAAAATATACCTATATATAATAACAATTAGCTATACTTGTACAACAATTAGTCTATTATTACCCTAAGGTTGTCTTGAAAAGATTGCTCGCAGCAATAAGATTGCCTTACTGTACTTATACAATTGTATCGTTATGTTTGTAAATTGTCTTGTTTATTTCCTATATTGTATAATGCAAATAAAGTATACTCATTCATTCATTATTCTAGGACATATACAGAAGGAGAAAAAAATTCATTTTCAGGGCACACGGTCCGTTTGTTTGGCCAGAGGAAAACCAGTGAAGGCCGCAAAGCGGGAGGAGCGTCGCTACTCCTGCCCAAAGTGCGCAAGAACCCCCTGATAGAGATCATCCCCATCAACACGGGCTGCCTCAACCAGTGCACCTACTGCAAGACCAAGCACGCCAGGGGGGAGCTCGGCAGCTACCCGCCCGAGGAGATAGTCGAGCGCGCGCGGCAGTCCTTCCAGGAGGGCGTCTGCGAGATATGGCTCACGAGCGAGGATACTGGTTAGTTGTTTGACTTTACACCATTTTGCATAGTCTGTATAAAGTGTCTGAACAAACTTTTATTTTGGGTACAAAATGGCTGTACTTACTTCGTTTCTGTTTGAAGGATGAGATATGGCAGTGAATTAATTTTACCCGACTTTGTACAAAAGTCGATTGCTTGAGTACCTCTGTCCCATTCGTGTTTCAACCGTGAAGCAGTTGTGTTTGCATGACTGTGTTTCGGTTTGAAGGGTGGGATATGGCACGCTATGTGTTATTCCTAACGTAACGATAGGTGTTATTCCTCTGTACCTAGTAAATTCACGAATTTACTGGGTACAGAGGAATAACACCTGAGTCCTCAGGAATGGCAATGCATGGGGGGTATCGTGGGCGAAACAGTATACTCTGTTATATCCATGGTACTGCTCATTTCTATAGGCGACGGTTACCACTTTCCATCAGGTGGGCCGTCAGCTTGTTTGCCATTCTAAGTTGTATAAAAAAAAAATTACTGGATGCAGAGGCATAACATCTTAGTATTTAAGAATGGCAACACATGAGTCTTTTTTATGGATAATGATGGAATGTTAACCCTGGTAACCCGCCTGCGCTATCGGTATACGCTGGCGGATTACCAGTGAAGAGTGACAGGTGGGGATGAAGGCATGTCAGTTGGCTCATAGAAACCAATTAAACAACAATTAACCACTATGGTTTCCAGAGGGAACTGCGTGGAGGTCAACCTGTTAGGGGTACATTGTCAGTAATGAGCTTGTTAGATCTCATACTAACCATCCCTTTCCCTCCAGGTAAATAAACTGACAATTCGCCTGATAGGTAGTGGCTACCATCGCCCATAAGCATATGCACCACAAGGGCGTTATTGCGTTATCTGTATTTATTAAATGAACAAATGATGCAGGTACATACGGACGCGACATTGGCTCGTCCTTGCCGGAGCTGCTGTGGAGGCTGGTAGAGGTGATCCCGGAGGGTTGTCGGCTACGGCTCGGCATGACCAACCCACCCTACATCCTCGAGCACCTGGAACAAGTCGCCAAGATCATGCATCATCCCAGAGTATACAAGTTAGTGTTACGCGTTTAGAGTACTAATAATAATAAAAAAGTCACCAATCGCTGTGTTTCTTTAGGAGAATCTTCGATTTTACTTTCTTAAAATGATGTTAATAATTTCGATACCCTTTATCTAGTAATAAACATTCATACATGCATGAGTCATTGTTCCATATGTCATATATTATATATGTTTTATATATTGGCAACACTGTAGCATTACGAATGATCGTCTGTCACTGTACGATACCAACATGTCGACTGGGGGAAAGGGATTGTTAGTAATGGAGACTGAGAATCCCATTGCTAGCAATATACCCAACCAGGTCGACCTCCTCGCGGTTCCCCCTGGAAACTATCATGGTTAATTCCTGATGAATTTATCATGATGGCCTAACTGGCCTGTTTTCATTCTCATCTATCACTCTTCACTGGTGCCCCGCCAGTGTATCCCGTTAGCGCAGGCGGGGTGACCATACCATTTTCACCCATAAAAAAAAATGTTGACTGGTTTTATTTTAATAATTCAAAACGTCAAAACAGATTTGACTTACTTAAAGGTAGGGAAAAATACAAAAAAAAAAATCGGGGAATATGTTCTGGGCGGCGGAAGTCACTTACCATCAGGTGAGCCGCATGCTCGTTTGCCCCCTGTGTTGTAAAAAAAAAAAAGATTTTTTTTTCTGTTTCTATAGTATTTCACTTGAATACTTTACCCCCTGGTGAAATAAAATTTTGTAATCTCTATAAAAATCGTAACTTCTGAGATTTCACTAAAAAATCGATATTTTGTATATAAATTAGTTTTAACAAGACATGTTTTGGAGATTTAATCTTCATATAAGCGCCCTTCAAAACCTTGCCTGTGAGGTACGTGCGTGTGTAAGTTTTCTTACAGAGGGGTTCGAGGCCCCGTTCTTTTTTCTTACGAAGTGCAAACTTGGCGCGGACGATATTGCCCTATACGGTTGGTGGAGGGTTAATAAACTGTTCCGTATCACATATATTAACTATTATCTATTATAAAACATCTGTTAGACAGCTGACTTTCCTCCATCCAGATTCCTCCACGTGCCGGTGCAGTCCGGCAGCGACCAGGTACTGGCTGATATGAAGCGCGAATACACCAGGGCAGACTTCGAGACGGTCGTCGACTATCTCACAGACAAGTAATGGATATTTTTTTTTATACCACTGAGATGGCATACAAGCATACGGCCCACCTGATGGTAAGCGGTTACCGTAGCGTATGAACGCCTGCAATACCAAAGGTAATACGCGCGCGTTGTCGACCCTGAAGAAATCTCTTTACCCCCCTTTTGAAGAACCCCATGCTGTCTCTATTACTAACAATCCCTTTCCCCCCAGTCATTTTACAGTTATAGTGCGGCGAACAGGGTTAATCTAACTATATAATGTTTCATGTGAGTTTGGGTACACATAGGTGCATGGTTTGTGTGGGTGTGTGCGTGTGCGTGTGCGTGTGCGCGTGCGAGTACGCGTGTGTGTGTATGTGTCTGTGTGTATATGTGTGTATGAGTGAGTACTTTTGTTATAATTTTGTATGTTAGCACACTAGGTTTATAACATTGATTTGGTTTTTGCCGTCATAATGTTGTAATTATTTTTAATGAATAAATAAATAACAACATTTTCTTGGGATTGTCTCGACAGGGAGCTGATTTTATAACCTAATCGTTCCTGGGAGCATTACTAACAGTCCCTTCTCCCCGTCAGGGTGCCTGGCATGACGATAGCGACCGACATAATCTGCGGCTTCCCCACCGAGACAGAGCGCGACTTCGAGCAGACGGTGTCCCTGTGTGACAAGTATCGCTTCCCCTCGCTGTTCATCAATCAATTCTTCCCCAGGCCCGGCACGCCCGCCGCCAACATGACCAGGGTGAGTACATTGCATCTTCACACTAAATAAACATAAATCAAAATTGTTTAAAACATATTCCTATATTTTACATACATTAGCATTTTGTAACAATTTATTTATTTATTTAACTCTTAATTGCACCAACAATTTAAAAATAAACAATGACATATAAACGATTCAACTGAAATACAGTAGCATGAAGTATAGATTCAAATATACACATAAAGGTACAAAAGGCGGTTTTATCGCTAGGGCAATCTCTTACAGACAACCTTTGGTTAAAGGAGAACATATAGAAGTGATATCTGATATTGTGTCTGGGAACAAAGGACGTGTGATTCGTTTAGAAAGAAAAATAAAAATTGTTTTTTTTTAATCAGGTACCGGGACAAGAAGTGAAGAGACGAACCAAAATACTATCAGAACTGTTCCGTTCCTATGAACCGTATGGTCATAAAGTAGGCCAGGTACAAGAGGTGCTAGTTACTGATATATCACACGACAAAAACTACTACGTAGCCCATAACGAGTATTATGAACAAGTTTTAGTGCCCAAAGAGGAGAAATATATGGGCAAAATGGTCACGGTCAAGATCACGAAGGCCACGAAATTCTCTATGGTAGGCGAGCCCATAGACAAACCCAAGATGGCGGGCTTGACGGCACCGCTGAAAAAAGGAGCAGTATCCGGTGTCTATGGTACGAAAACGGATAAAATGTCAATGCCTATACCAATTTTTGTTCTGTTATTAGCTCTGTTTTTAAGAGTTATTTGGATTTTTGTATAGTGTTTGTAAATATATTTATAAGATAATTTGTTGTTTTATTACCTCTTTCCATTTAAACACTATTGCATAAGTTTTGACGCGAATAACAGATAGTTGCATGCTATAGTAGGCCAAGTAGCTGTCGCAGTCCATTATGTCATGAATAGCCCGTAATAACTAAATAACTCAGGCTGAGTTATTGTACTAATAAAGTAAGCTAAGTTGACAAAAAAAGCTGCCTATCTTTGTACAGAATTGCTAACTCTGTTACATATATATAAAATTTCATCTGATCCGTTCATCCTTTTTTTAATGGGTGAAAATGGAATGGTGATCCCGCCTACGCTATCGGTATACACTGGCGGGACATCTGTGAGAGGTGATAGGTGATAGGTGAGGATGAAAGCAGGCCAGTTAGCCTATCGTGAAGAACTCCGTGAGAATTAACTATGAGGATTTCCAGGGGGAACCGCGTGGAGGTCGACCTGATAGGGTACATTGCTAGCAATGGAACTGTTAAATCCCATTACTAACAATCCCTTTCCCCCCGTTCAACCGTAGTTACTATAGTTATGAACAAACATCCATTACAAAATTTTCAATTTATAATATTACTGGGGTAGGATTCCGACTCATAGTTTTGGGGATTCAATCTCTTCTCTTTCTAAAGATTCTAGTAGATACTAGGGGGGGGGGGGGGAAGGGATTGTTAGTAATGCGAACTACTAGTAACATTGCTAGCAATATATCCTGTCAAGTTGACCTCCACGCGGTCCCTCCTGGAAACTATCGTGCTGAATTACAAGTTTATACATCACCTCACCTCACCTGTCATCTCTCACTAGTGCCCCGCCAGTGTATTGTTGATTGATTACCGCCTCCGTTGATGCTGATGGGGGAATGGGGGGGGGGGTCGTCATTCTTGCATATATCATCCATTAAAAAAATACATATACTACTCATATGTTTATATATTCCCCAACACTAACGCTATAGTACATAACAGGTTTTAAACAAAAGCGTAAACCGAGTCACGCTCCGGTAAATCTTTTCATGTGATATTATATAATGAGGTAGGACGGACGGTCCGCTGTCTGTCTAAATGAACAGAGTGTAAAGGATCCTACTATAGTTTAGAGGGTAGTTAGTAACATGGCGACAGGCTACAACCAGCCAGGGGCGAAGAGGCAGAAGGTACGGGAGCCGAGGGTCGACAATGATCATTTTCAAGGTAAATTTGTGTTTTTTTTTTTGCAACAAATAACATATTACAGATGTGACTTAACATAAAAATACTTTAAAATATATATTTTTTTATACAACTTAGAATGGCAAACAAGCTGACGGCCCACCTGATGGAAAGTGGTAACCGTCGCCTACAGACATGAGCAGTACCGTGGACATAACAGAGTATACTGTTTCGCCCATAATACCCCCAATGCGTTGCCATTCCTGAGGACTCAGATGTTATTCCTCTGTACCCTGTAAATTCACGCCATATCCCACCCTTCAAACCGAAACACAACCATGCAAACACAACTGCTTCACGGTTGAAACACGAATGGGTCAGAGGTGCACAAGCAAACGACTTTTGTACAAAGTCTCCCTTTGGTGAAAATTTTGATTCTATAAGGGTTCCGTTTCTTTCTTTGGAGGTACGGAACCCTAATAATATATGAGAGGTCTCAATAAAAGCAATAAAAGCCGTAACAAAAATTCTTAGAAATCTTACCCGCGTTGTGCGATTTCAACTCGCATTTGATCAGGTTTTTTTCGTTGACTATTTTCCATGTACAAACATTATCTAGTTATTAATTCTAATTTTATTATAAGTAGGTGTCGCTAAGATATTGTGATGCCGTGAATATATCTTTTTAATTATTATTTACCAGGCATAGATAAGATGGAATACAACAACATGGCGTCGCTGGCGGATACAAGCGCCTACCGCTACTATAGCAGCTCGGAGCGCGTCCATTCCAGGCCTATGGAGGACTGGCTTAAGTACAGTGTCTCCTACACCCAGTTCCGCAACAATGGTAACTGAATGTGTCGTAGATTTTCAATTAATCATTTATTTGCATAAACATAGGTACAGTTATAAATTTGATCTTTCATAATGTGTAGAGTGCTGTGTTTTTTTTCGATGGGTGAAAATGGTATGGTAAACCCGCCCGCGCTAACGGGATACGCTGGCGGAGCACACCAATGAAGGGTGATAGATGAGAATGAAAACAGGCCAGTTAGCCCATCATGATGAATTCATCAGGAATTAACCATGATAGTTTCCAGGGGGAACTGCTAGGAGGTCGACCTGGTTGGGTATATTGCTAGCAATGGGATCCTCAGTCTCCATTACTAACAATCCCTTTCCTTTCAATAGAGTGCTATGTTACTGTCGTTGGGCATACAAATGTTATTATTACATAATGCCACTATGGGGGAGGCTTATGTCCAACAGTGGACGGGTAATGGTTGAAATGATGATGATGATGATGATGAATGTCCCCCTTAAATTATATATTTTAATAATAACAATTACAATAATTGATAGCTTATGTCAATTTAATTCACTAGAAAAATCATAAAAATTTCAACGTAATCAACAAAATACCTAATAGTCCGTATTACTAACACACCCCCCCCCCCCCCTACAATGTTATTTCATTTGAGATTTCAAAAAACATGTAATTGGTGTATTAAACAGGAATTAAAATGTTGTTTCATTTGAGATTTCAAAAAATATGTAATTGGTAGATCAGACAGGGTTTTGTCAGTAAACAGTAGATCTTGGGTCTAGTCAAGTTGGCCACTTATGCCATATCTTATTTAAAATTCGAGTCAAGGGCCAGTTAAACTGTTGTATGTCGACCCATGGGATCTTTTATGTTTCCCCCTGACTTTTACTATAATTTTATAGATCCTTTTTATTCCATTTACTATATCCCGCAGTTTAAGATATTTAGAGGCTCCTGGCTGCAAAGTCCTTTTGCACAGTACTACATAAAAAAAAACTGCACAGTTTTTTAAAAGTTTATTGGAAGGTTTAGAATTAGTATAATGTTTTTCAGGTTATGATAGCCACGGTAAACCACATCACACCTGGGATGATGGTTCTAACACCGTTGACAATTACAAACGTTGCATCAAAGCATTCTTCGATTTCTGCACCAAACTGGGTGTAAAATACTGGACTGCGTTTGACACAGATCTTGTGCCAATGACAGACAGCTGGGAGGAGAACAGAGTGTCATGGGATGATATATCGGAGTACGTGCAGGATTTGATGCAGAGATATCACATTAAAATGCTGTGGTTATCACCAGACTTGCATTCGCATCCAAGGTAAAGGTGACAGTTTGTCCAGTAACCCAGGGAACCTGGGGGGAAAGGGATTGTTAGTAATGGAGTTTGACAGCCCCATTGCTAGCAACATGCCTTATTACGTCGACCTCCACGTGGTTCCTCCTGGAAACCATCGTGAACAATTCTTGTAGAATTCGTCACGATGGGCTAACTGACCTACTTCATCCTCACCTATCATCCTTCACTGGTGCCCCGCCGGTGTATACCGATAGCGCGGGTGGGGTTACCATTCCATTATCATCCATTAAAAAAAAAACCTAGGGAACCTTTATAATTTAGAGATACTAAGAATAAACTCACGTTAAGTATAAGTCACCAGAGGGAGACTTTGTACGAAAGTCGATTGCGTGGGTACCTCTGTCCCATTCGTGTTTCAACCGTGAAGCAGTTGTGTTTGCATGGCTGTGTTTCGGTTTGAAGGGTGGGATATGGCGTGAATTTACTGGGTACAGAGGAATAACACCTGAGTCCTCAGGAATGGTAACGCATGGGGGGTATCATGGGCGAAACAGTATACTCTGTTATGTCCATGGTACTGCTCATGTCTATAGGCGACGGTTACCACTTTCCATCAGGTGGGCCGTCAGCTTGTTTGCCATTCTAAGTTGTATAAAAAAAAAAAAAACTTTTGGAAAACGTTTACGGAATTTAAGAAAGATTTATGGAGATAACACATAATTATGAAAGTCGATAAAGCGACAAATGTATGTAACAATTTCATGCTCAGGTCTAAAATGTATGTATGTTCGCTTCTCGTAACAAACGTATAATTAGCCCGATTTTAGATTGATAGTGTTCTGTAGTTAGAAATACAAAATTGATTTATTCAATGTTTCGGTTTGTTATTGATTTCATTTAGAGAGGATTTCTATTATAATTTTGACAAACGCCATATTTTTATTAGAGTATTTTTATTAGAGAGAGAGTTACGTAATAATAATATAAAATAATCTTTGAATTGTAATATATATACTTACCTTCTTGAAACTGGATAATCATATACAGTGGTTTCAAAGGAATTTTCTTCCGTGAATGCTCAGGCTGTCGAATGAGTTTCCTGCCGAGGTTCTCCCTAGAGACAGTTTGGAATTCTTCAAAAATGGTATATTAAGGTTTCTTCAGGGTTGGCAACGCGCACGTGACACCCCTAGTGTTGCAGGCGTCCATAAGCTACAGTGACCGCTTACCATCGGGTTACCCATACGGGTTGTATGTTTGTTTGTAGTAAAAAAAATAATATATTATAAAGAATATGTAACCTATTATATATGTACATGATACATACAACATTTCACTAATGTCTACACTGTTTTGCGTACTTTCTAGGTATAATTCTGGTGCATTCACAGGCCATGATGCAACTACCTACACTCAGGCGGCGACCCAGATAAAAAAGTGTCTTGAAATGTCACAGCGTTTAAATGCCGAATGTTTCCTTTTGTGGCCATACAAAGAAGGCTACAACGCTATATTTCAATCAGACGTCGCCAGAGAAATTAAATTGTTCGCTAAACTATTGAAAATGACCGCCGAATACAAAGATAGATTAAATTACAGATGTCAATTGTTAATAATGCCGTATTACAATTGTCATTTTAGTAGAAATAATGGTTGGTTATGGCAACACCGAAATAGGCGGGAAAATGAATTGGTGAACATGTATATGTGGGACGTGACGAGCTGTTTGTATTTTCTGAAGAATAACAACTTAGATCGCTTTTACAAAGTTTGTACGCTGCCTGGACATCATATGTTTATGGCGAATGTGTGAGTTATTAGAGATTTTTGTTTTAATTATTTTTTTTTTCGGATGATTGCCGAAAAAATTTAAAAATTCAGAACGCTCGTTGTTTATGAGTGCATACTTCAAACACTTGTCATTTGTCTTGCTAGAGCGATATTAGTTTAAATTTTATGTGTGTGTTCGTGGTCGGAATATAGAACAGAAATTGTAATGTTGCCAGCATTAGAATTTACTATGTATTTATTTATTTTAATATTATGTAGATGTGAAAGTAAAGAGATATACATAAGAGTAGAATAGTAACACCTCTAGTATGGCAGGCGTCAATAAGCTACAGTGACCGCTTACCATCAGACGGGCTGTATGCTTGTTTGCCACCTTTGTAGTATAAAAAAGCCGGTCAAGTGCGAGTTGAACTCGAACTTTGACCACCACTATTACTACTAGAAGTTCCACAACCTTCCATATTAGCAATCCATTTCCGACTGCCATTATGTCCACGCACGTTTTGCGACACTTGTTTCACCTCTAAACGAGGCATCTTCAGGCAAATGTTCAGAGGCTATTGTTAATATGTAAAAATTAATAATCATTACGTCCGTAGATACAATATGTTGGGCGGCGTGGTCATAACAAGTGACGTAGATCAGTACGACAGCAAGAGCTTCACGCTCATGATGAAATGCGTGCTCGATCAGGCAAGTAATAATAATAATAATAAGTTTATATCAAAATAAATTTTACAAATATCTTTAAACATATGCTCCCTAAATAGGTAACTCTCGTGCTTTAAGATAAGCAGTGCTCTTAATTTTTACGTGTGTTAGATATTTATTTAAAATTATATTAATTTTCTTAAACATCTTGTGTCAAAATGTGTACCTACATTTATTAATAAAAATCAAACTAACTACTTTAAATATAATAAAACGTTAAAATTGTTATTATATCAAATTTGGTAATAAATTATTCTTGTAATGTATATAGAACACTAATTTATATTTTAATTAATTTTATAATTATTTGTCATAATACTTGAATAAAAAGTAATGAAATTGTAAGAACACGTGGTCTCACTGACTTGTTCACTCGAATTCGGTCTGTACATATAAAAGACTGTTACTTAGGTGGGGAGGCAACACTTCTGGTCCAACCGTTGAACAGAGCGGAGCTCCCTGCCGTATCAAGAGTGAACAAGTATAGTGAACCACGTGGTCATTACATAAAATATATTACAATTATTGTTGATGGAAGTCCTAAAGAAGCTGTATTTAAATAAATGTCAGTGGACTAACAGAAGTTGGGTATTTATGTTATATTATTTGTTATATATCAAATATAAAGTAAAATAAGTAAATATATGATTTAATATGTGATATAGTATGATATCTAGATTAAATTAACTGTGAGAACTTGTGCTTCATTTCTATTTATTACCAAGAGGCTTTACAACCTTTATATTGCTAAAGAATTTATATCATATACATGTGAAGTTAGTATTACGTAGTACCCCACATATCATTATATATATATATATATATATATATATATATATATATATATATGTATATGTATATATATTAAATATTATAAACAGTAAATTGCTTTTTCTAACACACGAGTGTCTAAAAAATTATAATCTTTACATCGTATGACATTGATTATATTTTTTTTAATATTCCAATATATATAAGCATCTCTTACCAGGGCGCTCCTCCGCCCGGTGGAGTGATTCTGAAGCTGCGAGCGCGCGAATGTTCGCCGCGAGAGATGCTCGCGTTGCACGCAAAATACGTGGACGCAGTAGCTAAAGCCCTACGACTGGCCTCCGCTTTGGCGTCTGAACAAACATTCTCTAAACATTTGCAGGTAATAGTTTTTTGTTTTTTTTTTTATACAACTTAGAATGGCAAACAAGCTGACGGTCCACCAGATGGAAAGTGGTAACCGTCGCCTATAGACATGAGCAGTACCACGGACATAACAGAGTATACTGTTTCGCCCATGATAAATGCGTTGCCATTGATGAGGACTCGGGTGTTATTCCTCTGTACCCTGTAAATTCACGCCATATCCCACCCTTCAAAGTGAAACACAGCCATGCAAATACAACTGGTTTACGGTAGAAACACGAATGGGACAGAGGTACCCAAGCAATGGACAAAAGTTGATTAATTGGCGGCCTAAAGACACCAGAGGGCGAGACCTTCGCTTGAGCAGTAGTAATAGTAGTATATATAAATAAATTTATATAGTCTTCAAAATTAATACTAGCAGAATATTGTTTAAAATGGCAACCTTGTTATTTTGCAGCAACGTTACTCGACGTTCTACAGCGGGTTCGGTTCCCGGCTGGTCACCAGTGACGTCACAATGGAGGAGTGCGAGGATTACTACAAGTGAGTATCATGGTACACCAATATACGATAAACATCTGCCATATTTAAGAAAAATTTGGGATGAGAATTCTTAACAAGAGAAATAGACGTCCAAAGAATAATTTATAGAAATTTTGTCCATATGTTTGTTCCGGTATCACGCAAAAACTACTGTACCAAATTGGATGCAGTTCTTAAAGTTGTGTTCGTGAAGGTCTCACTAAAAATCTCTGGTATATGTTTTATTTTATTGTATTTCCTAAGTCCACGTTAACGAATTATTGAGTGAGAAGCTAAACATACCAGCTCTTGCTCGCAACTTTGTACGCGCGGTATCGTTTTCCCTTTTCAAGTTGAATTTTCCAAAGATCCTTTCAAAGTGGTCGTTTATAAGTTAAATCTATGTTCCAAATTTCTGCTTTCTATACTTAATAATAGTTTTGGCTGTGTATTGATAATCAGTGTACATACACCTGAGTCCTCAGGAATGGCAACGCATGGGTATGTCCATGGTACTGCTTATGTCTATAGGTGACGGTTACCAATTTCCATCAGGTGGGCCGTCAGCTTGTTTGCCATTCTAAGTTGCATAAAAAAAATATTTTCTAATATTTAAAAAAAAATAATGTTAGTACAGAAGCCCCAGTGTGCAACTATGTGTAGAAGCGTCCATTTTGTACTGTGTAAATACATATTACAAGGGATCCCCCGTGAAACAACGACACCTCTATAAACACTGCCAGAACTAACGGATGTTTGCTTGCATTTAAACGAAATTAGTCGTTCTCCACGTTTTCAACTAGACGGATTTGTGTGCTTTAAAAAAAAACATAAACAATAATTTTAGCTTCACAGGACAATAGTTGTTCAAATTTTGTCAGTGTTTGTGTGAGATAATATTTGGTCTACAATTTATTATGTGTTGTGTTCCTTGCAGATATCTGCTTCTGTTAGGTAAATAAATAGACATCGTGCCTCCCACCAAATTGTTTATAATAACTCCTCTCCATCCAAAGGTTAACTGGAAGAGATCGCTTTTAGCGATAAGGTAGCCCATTGTTTTCTCATTGTGATTATTTCTTGTAATTATTTATATTTATAATAAGTTTACTATTGTAATCTTTTGGAGGAAACAATAAAGAGTATCTATCTATCTATAATAATTACCTAATGCATTACTTAGGGGGTAAGGGATTGTTAGCAATGGGAAAGTAAGTCCTCAATGCTATCAATATTCCTAATCAGGTCGACGTCGACGCAGTTCCCCATAGAAACTATCGTGACTAATATATCGTTGGATACGTCAAAGTGGACTAAATGACCAGAGGGAGACTTTGTACAAAAGTCGATTGCTTGGGTACCTCTGTCCCATTCGTATTTCTACCGTAAAACAGTTGTTTGCGTGGCTGTGTTTCGGTTTTAAAGGTGGGATATGGCAGTGAATTTACAGGGTACAGAGGAATAACACCTGAGTCCTCAGGAATGGCAACGCATGGGGAGTATCATGGGCGAAACAGTATACTCTGTTATGTCCATGGTTATACTGCTCGTGTCTATAGGCGACGGTTACCACTTTCCATCAGGTGGGCCGTCAGCTTGTTTGCCATTCTAAGTTGTATAAAAAAAATTTTGTTGCAGAAGGAACCATCAAAGCGCACAAAATGATTCCTCCAAGTATGAACAGTTGGACGTCATGTTCCAGCGATTTCTGGACACCTGTGATCACATCTGAAACTTTAGCAGTAAGTTGAAAATTTCAATCGGAGAAAATTTAACTAAATTTAGTTAATTAATTAATACACAATCGTGATTTAACGCGATATAAAAGCTTTTACAAGTAAATAGGACCTGCATACCTGCTCCTTTATTGCCGACGTACTAAAATTAATTAATTAAGTCAAATTAGCAGTGTAAGTTACAATGCAGATCTTATTCGGGGGTAACTCAGACTTTATTTGGGGACAAATTTATTTTTTATATTAATTGATTAACAAGATTTCGTTGTACTTATTTAATCATTTATTTTTATTGTGTTTAATTATTTAAAAATGAATTAATCAGTTTTTTTATTTTATACATACATGTATAGATTGTCCATTATAACCTGGCACGCCCCTACAAAATTCAAAAAACTAAAAATGTGTGAATAAAAAAAAATATATATATATATATTTTTATACACACTTTTACTTTTCAACACACACACACACACACACACACACACACACACACACGGCGATGTAATATTGTTCACGTACCTATCTACGCATTTAAATAGTGTCTAGTGACGTCATTAGATGTACGTATCATGAAATATATTTAAATACAATTATATATTTCTCTTACTCCTGTATAAAACTGTTTAATTACATTGTTATTATTCTATAGCAAATGTTTCTGTCTATTATATACCGTAAGCAATGGTGTGTAATTATTTGTAACTTATTATAACAAATTAGTTTATAAAATATCTAGGTACAAGAACAGGTGAATTCCTAAGCTGATATATTATGCAACATGTAGAGTGGCTATTTTTAAATGAATAAATTCGTTTTTTGAAACCCAGATTCGAACTTATGAAATGTATCAGTGATTTAATTTGTAAATGAGATTTTACATACAATATGTAAAGAAATATATAAATGATTTAATAATAATTAAATCAATAATACATTTCGTTCCAATATGGAAATCTCCCTTTTTATGAGGGTAAACTGTTCAGTCATGCGGGCCTTAGCCAACCATGGTCGACTCTAAATTATGTATTAAATTATATATATATATATATATATATATATATATATATATATATATATATATATATATATATATATTGGCTACTTATAATGCATGACCCAAAGTGTGCACTTGGCATCAGTTGTGATTTTTGTATAATGTAAGAATTAGAATGAAATGAATTGATAGAATTAGATGAAAATTAAATAAATATACCTATGTAAATTCAGTAGTTAATATTTGCATGCCATTTGATGTGGCGAAACATAATGGACATCTTGTAAACTTGACAAATGCAACATTTTATCTACAACGTTTTTGGCAAATAAATTACATTTCATATACGCTTTTGTTCATAATAACGATAATGGTTTCATAAACCTATTCAATACCTAATTGAACTGTTTTGTCTCTTTCTTTTATGATGCATTACCAATTAGCAAGACTGTAACAACAGTTGAATAGCTAAAATAGATTTTTAGTCTATATACGCAAGGGGATTAGTATACCAGAGGGAGACTGTACAAAAGTCGATTGCTTGGGTACCTCTGTCATATTCGTGTTTCAACCGTGAAGCAGTTGTATTTGCATGGCTGTGTTTCGGTTTGAAGGGTGGGATATGGCGTGAATTTACTGGGTACAGAGGAATAACACCTGAGTCCTCAGGAATGGCAACGCATTGGGGGTATTATGGGCGAAACAGTATACTCTGTTATGTCCACGGTACTGCTCATGTCTATAGGCGACGGTTACCACTTTCCATCAGGTGGGCCGTCAGCTTGTCTGCCATTCTAAGTTGTATAAAAAAATTAATATAGGTAATATTATTGAAATAAAAAACTTCAATCAAATATTCCATTATTTATTTAATTGTTTTTCTTATTTTGTTGTTTTTTTTTTTATATTCACAGCAACTTATTGACTATACATTTAATTGTAAATACTATATAATTATATAATACACAATACTTGTGCAAACACTTAATGGTACTTCGAAGCAACAAGCTTAATCAACGTGAATACAAAATTGGCGCCAAAAACTTTGACCTTGAAAAATGTTATGATTTGACCCATATTTGTATATGGCTTCTAATAATCGGTCTTCGGTATCAAATGTTGGTAGTCCTATGTATCCTTAGATTATATAGATAGAGTGTCTCCATACAAATGCTTCGAGAAAAACGGCTCAACTTTTTCATACAATTTTGCATGATAAATAGTTATGAGTGATTCCTTTATAACTTCTATATCTATTTTGTCTTATAATTTTTGCATCTTTTTAATGCGTAAACACTCATTTTATTTATTAAATAATACGTCAAGATACATTTTATGCGTACGTATATAGAACACTGGTAAAACAACAAGTCAGCTAATTAGACAATTAGCTGACAAAAAGTTGACCCGTTTTGGAGGCTCGATGCTTTATCTATATATAATCGAAGTATGTAACCTAATGGTAGTGGAATTAAATAATTTTAGGCAGTAATATTATTGTTTCGACGTTATCGCTAAGTGTGAACGAGATGGAAATATAACTCGGCCATAGAATTAGAACTTTCAGTTCTTGGTCTTACAATTCGCTCTCTATTACCTTGTTTACTTCGGTGGAGGTGTGAGCGAGATAGAAGACAACATGGAAGGTCAGACAATTTTGTATTCACGATGGAATTTAGAAGCTTTGTGGAAAGTAGTTTCTTTTTTTTACTATTATACATTCTAATATTTTTAATATGTTTGTAATTGTTACAGACACATGTACATTGTACATAATATATGTATGCATGTATATTTTACATTGACGCTTAATATATCTAAAAATAATGTTACCAATTTACAGTCACATTTATTATATATAATATATATTATATATTATATATATTATATATATATATATATATATATATATATATATGTATATGTATGTATAGTTAGTTCGCCGTAGCGATGCACATATTGTTCGACATATACACATTCACTCAAGCATACTTGCAGTGGCGTATTTAAGATTGAGGTGGCAAACAAGCATACGGCCCACCTGATGGTAAGCGGTTACCGTAGCCTATGAACGCCTGCAATACCAAGGACATCACACGCGTGTTACCGACTCTGAAGAAACCTACATTTCTTTTTTGAAAAACCCCATACTGTATTTTTTTGGGAACAACAAGACAGGAAAATCATTCCAGTCTCTCTCATCTCTTTCTCTCGGCTCTCTGTCTGTGGCGAGCAGAATTATAACAGACAGTGGTGAGCAGAGAGGGAGGCTGACTGGTCCTTAAAAAAGCACGTTATATACTCCCAGATATGTCTGGGCAAAATAAAAAGCTACACTCACATCGTGGAGTGGGCATTGGATAATTCTGGGGTGGGCACAACCCACCCGGCGACCATCTTAAATACGCCCATGCAAATGTCAATCTAACATGGCGAAGGCGCACCTACATCACTTGGACAATTTCAGTTTGTTAACGATGTTTACCATCACCTGCTATAGTTATAGTTGAATATTTAAATTGATATTATTAAGTAGTAAAATTCACATTAAACTAATTATAAATCTTAAAATAATAAACATCAGTGCATGAGAATTTGCTGTCAAAGCAAAAAAAAAAAGTGTATCGTAAAAACAATCTTATATTTAAAATATATGCGTTTCGTTCAGTCGAGATATTAAAAAAAAAAACAAAAAAAAAACTAATGAGAGAAAAAACTAACTAAATCGATTAAACCGACACCATACGAATGTCAGTGAATAAATAAATGTAAAATTATTCTAAACTAATATCGAATTTTGTATTTTAATATTGCGAGGAATTTATTATTATGATATATATATATATATATATATATATATATATATATATATATATATATAATTAAGTCGAAAGGCCAACCGGTTTAAGCTACATTAAATCTAATACTGAGCAGAAACGTAAAAAGTTACTGGGCCTACGATAGGCACATTGCCCTACTCAAAAAGTATAACCGTGGATAGAGAATAGCTAGGATCATAATAATGTACCGCCATGTTAACAGCGTTCATAACTTTAGCTTTTTTTTTATGCAATTTACAAAGGCAAACAAGCTGACGGCCCATCTTATGGAAGGTGGTAACTGTAGCCTATAGACATGAACAGTACCATGGATAGAGTATATTATGTCGCCTATAGTACCTTTTATGTGCTGCCATTACTAAGGACAAAAATGTTGTTTTTTTTTTAATGGAATGGCAACCCCGTCCGGTGTCTCGACGGGTACCAGTGAGGGATGATAGGTGAGAATGAAAAGGCAGGTCAGTTAGTCGATCGTGATGAATACACCCAGAATTCAGCGCCATGGTTTCCAGGGGGACCGAGATATTGCTGACAATGGAACTGATAGTGCTCATTACTAATAATCCCTTTTCCCCTCCCTCCCGAAGAAAGGTGCTATGTATCTGTGCCTTGTAATTTCATTGCCATATCCCATTGATTAAAACATATTTATTTTCAGCTAACCGAAGTGTGGCAACGACGCAACTATCTGTCAATTAAAAAAAAAAACAATTGTCAATGTTACTGATTATTTAAAAAGTGTTCTAATAGACAAACTAAAACGTTAACTATGCAATAATATTCTTATTAAGATGTCATTAAAAATTTTGGATTTATATATTAAAAAAGTATTTGTAAAATTTCGAAGCGAAATACATGTAAATTTTGAGTTTTTAGTAGGAATTTGTATGCGATGGTATCTTTCATAACGCATTAGTTCGTTAGTAAAGCACTTTTTAAATAATCAATAAGAAACATTGAGAAAATGTTCAATTGACAGATAATTGCAATGTTGCCAAAGCTAAAGTGTTGAACGCTCAACAAAAAAAGGAATCTACTAAACTCGGTAAACGATAATACATTTAAATTACTACTAACATAACGACTATTTCTCTGTGGCAATATGTTTTTAAACGTTCGGAAATCTGCGAGCGTCTTTTTTTTACAACACAGGGGGCAAACGAGCATACGGCTCACCTGATGGTAAGTGACTACCGCCGCCCATGATCACCCGCAACACTAACGGCATTGCAGGTGTGCTGTCGGCCTTTTAAAAAGGAATATGCTCTTTTCTTGAAGGTTATGATGTCGTATCGGTTCGGAAATACTGCTGCTGGAAGTTGATTCCAAAGAGTGGTTGCGCGTGGAAGAAAGTGCTTTGAAAAACGTATGATGGAAGACCGCTACTCGTTCAGATGGTTGGGATAGGATTTTAGTTTATGGCGGGTTGTACGATGGTGAAAATCAGCAGCAGGTATCAATCCGAACAATTCCACAGAGCACTCCCCATTATAAATTCGGTAGAAGATGTACAGAGATACAACGTCTCTACGCAGTTTCAATGGATCGAGTCGGATAGTATCGGTTATTTAATTGTTAATATATTAATCTAAAAACATATAAAATTAATTTCAATTTAACTCCTATTAAAATTGAGATAAAATTATATTAAAAGTGATTAATTCATTCCTAAAATTTGATTACCACAGATAATAATAAATAAAAGCTTTAAAAAAAAATGCTTAATTTCATAAAAAGGTTTCAAATCCTTCAAGAATCTAATCCGGTATCACATATCAAGCTAACGTACTACGTACTAAGCCCTACTAATTCATTTCCAAGCCTTAAATTATTAGGAATCATGCAAATAAATTCATCATCATCATCAATTTCATTGCTACGGTGCCCTCGAAAAAGACTAGGAGGTATTGCGTCTTAAACATTTAAGAAGCTTATTAGACTATCAAAATATAGAGAATAGAATAATCTTTCTATATATATATATATATATATATCCTTTTCAGACCCAAGATTTTTTTTCTTTCATATTAAATATATTTTCGTGTTCTGGAGCCAAGCCGTCTTACCGGCACGCACGAGACTACTGCACCACCTAACCGCTAAAATTATTTCTTATTGGCTGGTTTAGAATCTCACTGTCATGTTATTTCAGCTTCGTGCGTAAAAATTAATTGCGCGCGGTTTTAGAATTTTTTAAAGTTACAACTCACGCCCGTATCGATCAGGTCTGAAAGGGATATATATATATATATATATATATATATATATATATATATATATATATATATATATATATTGTTATAGCGGTTATAGATTGTCTACGTTAACATGGCATTCCGCTCCAACTCTTTCTTTTATACAATTTAGAATGGCAAACAAGCTGACGGCCCACCCGATGGAAAGTCACCTATAGACATGAGCAGTACCATGGACATAACAGAGTATACTGTTTCGCCCATGATTACCCCCCATGCGTTGCCATTCCTGAGGACTCGGGTGTTATTCCTCTGTACCCAGTAAATTCACTACCAAATCCCACCCTTCAAACCGAAACACAGCCATGCAAACACAACTGCTTCACGGTAGAAACACGAATGGGACAGAGGTGGCCGAGTAAACGACTTTTGTAGTCTCCCTCTGGTCTTTACTTCAATATGTGTGACCATGTATACAGACGTGGTATTGTGTTTGTGCTTGCGAGGAGACATCTTCAGTATCGCTACAACCAGAGGAGTAATATTCCTTGGTTAAAACCTCGTAAACATTTTCATTCATACATTTCTAATCGTTTGAATTTTGTATGGGCGTGCCATGTTATCGTAGGCAAGCTTTACTCTTTTTAATTTAATAACGTACATGATATTTTTAGATTATTTATTTATCTATATAATATAATTTTATTATACATTTGACAGTATAATATGCTTAACACAAAAATTACAATATGATCACAAAAAAAATATGTAATAAATACATAAATACATAATTGATCATATATTTTATAATACATTTATTACGAAGCGGTGGACTGTGATGAGGTTCTGAAATGGTAGACACGGAATTTAGTAGCGAAAAAAATATATTAAACAGCAAACAAGGAACAGAACAAAGAGGCGTTAAAAGTATGTGAGGATGATGTGGTGCTTATCGCGGACTCCACTCTCCCTCGTGGCCTCTGGCCACTAGGGAGAATAGTAAAAGTTTACCCAGGCCAGGACGGAGTGGTCCGCGTAGCGGACGTCTTCACCAAAGAGCGGTACGTTGCGCAGAACAGTTCGCAAACTAATTTTATTAGAGAGTGAGCCTCGACCGGCCGATGCAAACTCTTTAGACAATATTGTACTTTCTTATATGCATTTACTTTTAGAATGTTCTTATTATTTGTAATTTAAATTTTATATTTTTTGACATATATCACATTGTTCTGTTCCTTGCTTGCTGTTTAATACATTTATTTCGCTATTAAATTCCGTGTCTACATCATTTCATCACCTCATCACAGTCCACCGCTCCGCAATAACATTCTTGTAATAAAAATTACATTTAAATATAACACGAGTTTATTTTATAAATTCTCACTGTACTTATATTAAGTTTTCATTCATTTAAAAATGGCAGCACAATTAGGAAACAGTTATATATTTCCTAATTTTTATTTATAACAATTATAAAATACAGCGATGATAGTTTTCTTTACACTTACACAACATAGAATGGCAAACAAGCATACGGCCCGCCTGATGGAATGGCAACTATTGACTGTAGATATAAACAGCGCCGTGGGCAACACTAAATCAATGATCATCATTGTGCCAAAAATAAAAAAAAAATGGAATCAGAATAAGGGCGGAAAATGTACTAGTCTTTAAAGGTGTTTGAAGGTTTCTCAATAACGCTTAGACCGGTGTTTCCCAACGTGGGGCCTACGCCCACGCAAGAGGGCAAAATGGACTCGAAGTGATTTTAATCCTCTTGCTCCGGGCCATTTAAATGCAATGCTACGAGTAGATATCGGTTCCAAATTTAACAAAAAAGAAGTAATTTAAAAAAAAAAACGCTGTAAATATTTATTAGGTATAATTTCGTTTGACGTTACCAAAATATCAACTGGGCGATTAGAGTCGTCAAGTAAACTTTGTCGGGAAAAATTATGTATGGGGGCATAAAAATTTTAGAAATGTTCCAGTGGGGCGTGGCACAAAAAAGGCTGGGGAAACACTGGCTTACACCATTGAATTACTAAGTTAAGCGAGTAAAGCCGCGGGATACAGGCAGTGTGATAATATTACATTAGTCGAATACCATCGTTGTTTTTAGTATTGCTATTTGTTACATTTAAAATTATTTCCAATAACGTATCTTTGGTAAATGTGTTGTTAGCGACAGATTTTTCCTTAGTTTCTTTTTTCAAATTATAAACTCAGTCAATTGTTAATTCGTAATTGGTGGAATTTTTATTCACAGATAGATTATTGGAACTCACGTGTGCGTAATGACGCATCAACTTTTATCGGGTTTATTATTATTATTAAAAAATTTACAGACACCAAAAAAAAAAAAAAAGGAATAAATTAAAATACATCTTATTATGAGTCGGTAAGCAGAAAGGTTTAAGTAGATTGTGCCTTGCTTTAAGTATATATATATATATATATTTGTAACACTGTATAAGTAGGCGTGTGCGATATCGTCAACACTCCAATATCTATATGTTGGGTTCCCCAGGACATAGATATTGATTAAAGAAAAAAGTTTATCACTCATTTCCATATCGTCAATACCGGTCGGAGGTCGGATATTATATACATGATGGGTAAACAATATTTAATACATGCGTTATCGGACCGATATATAGATATTGTAGCAATAAATATATATATATTATATTACCCAATAAAATAAGTACTGAATTCATTAAGCACCACAGTTTTATAATAACTATTAACACGAATTAATCCATAGATTATTAATATATATATATATATATATATATATATATATATATATATGTATGTATATGTATATGTATATATATATATATTGAATGTAATTAATTTTAAAGTAGATATTATTTTTAATTGTTTTATTAGATTAATTATAAAATAATGAAATACTATGTTTCAGTAATGAATTATTAATCTAAATAAATTGGATATGGATACCGATATGATATATATAGATTCTGGACATATACAAGGTCGATATCACCAATATCGGTCGGATATCTACTTTCAAATATGTTACAAATCTGCTATCCAATATTATTTCATTGGATAACAGACTTTTAACATAACGTTAACGGTTAACGGGCCAGTATATAGGATATCGTAACTAAAATATATAGTTACTGCTATATATTTTATTACCCACCCCTAGTATATACATACATACATAATTCAATGTAAATTTGATCTATATTATTATGTAATAAAGTCGACGAGATTATTATTCGACGCGAACCAAAATAAACGCAAAAAATGTCTACTCCGCCTTCCATAGCAACATATTGAAATAACGTGCAGTCGTTTATACAGCTTAACGCTAGGCTGATGAAATGTGTGGCCAGCACATATTTATGGCTAAAGTTTAATACAAATGTAAAAGAAGTACATTTTCGTGATACGACCAGGGAGTCAACAATTTGATTCGCTTGCTTGTCTAAAATGAAAGCTTTACGGAATAGATAAACAATTCGATTGGAAAACACTGCGTTTGAGTGAGGAAGAATATATATATATATATATATATATATATATATATATATTTTTTTTTTTGTAAAAAACAAGTATGACAAGCATACGTCCCGCCTGTTGGTAAACGGCCACCGCAGCCTATGAACATTATAGCACGTGGCTATCGCATTGTGACAATGGTATCTAGCTATATTTCATTCTCAAATGAACATAGCATTGTTTGCTACATACAAGTCGTGTCATACAAGTTTGCTTGCATACAAGTCATGACTTGGATGAAATCCCTCACTGGTATTTCTATAACTAAGCCAAGTAAATAAATAATGATTGATTCTCTAAATCAATTCTTATAATTTCATGAGATATAGGCAATAATATAATAATATTTAATGTAGCCTCGTTTTACAATAAAAGTTTATTAATTAAAATTTTAAAATAAATAAATTCCATATCGCCATATAATGGCGGAAAACACTTTTAACCGTTCCCGATGATTTTCAACTAACTAATAAATTAACCGAACAGGTCTCGTCGTATTAAGGTAACAAATATAAATGTCAAATAGGTAGAAGTTTCGGTTTTTTTCCGCAAAAAAAAAAAAAAAACTGATATTTCCAATTCATAAAAATCAAATAATTTAAGACAATTTTTGGTATAACTTTTAAAAATAGTAGTTAATTGTATTTTTTTTATTTATTTTAAATATATATATATATATATATTTATATATATATATATATATATATATATATATATATATGCGCCACAATGCAGTTCATCAGATGTGAATTAGACCGTGCACTAACAATTATGTACATATAAAGCCATGTATATGTATATTTTGTGACAAAATATAACAAAAATAACCTTTTTTTTTCTTTCCCTAACTTATCCTTGGTATATACTATGAAATATATACCAAATCCAATAGACGATGTCCTAATACTTTAAATACGATTTTAAACGTAGTTCCTGCCACATAGTTGCAACAAACGGTTTATCCTCAAGTTGTATTATGAGGAACAAGGCAACAGATCTGAGAGCACAGCTCAGAACACGTACACCTGGGTCAATTTCGAAAATTCCCGATTTAGAATCGAACCTCGGACCTAACTTACTTACAAATACAAAGCAACATGCCCAGCGCTGCATTACGAGATCGTTGTGTGTAGTTATTTTGTTACATTCTGTCCTTCGTCCTATACCGACAGACTAGTGGGACACGAATACATCTATCTCTGTCGCACGTACCGCTCTCGCCGCGTCGGTCTCGCTCACTCGTCTTCGGAGGGCTCCGTGCCGAAGTACCGGTCGCCAAAGTTGCCGATGCCGGGTAGTACGTAGAATTTCTCGTTGATCTCCGGATCTAGTGCTGACGTTATGATTTTGACCTGTTGGCAATGAAACTGATTATTTTATCATCATTTACACACAGCCATATGTATATTTGTGTATGTGCGTGCGTGTGTGCGTGCGTGCGTGTGTGTGTGTGTGCGTGCTTGTGTGCGTGCATGCGTGCGAACGTGCGTGCATGCGTGCGTGCGTGTAAACTTACTAACATTATCTTTAAAAACATTGTTACTAATAAATTATAACTAAAAAGTTCGAAATAAAAAATATTATTATTTTCACCCAACTTCAAAAAGAAAGAAGTTCTGAATTTGGCTATATCTTTATGTTTGCCACCTCATAACTTAGTCAGTTGTAAACCGATTTCTAAAATTCTTTCTTTTTTTATCTAAAAGGATATACTTACACAGTGGCTCCATAGAAATTTATCAAAAAAGTTCAATAGTTTAGTTTTTAAATAAATACAACCGGATTTGCCAGAACTGAAGTCAGTTTTTTTTGGCAAATTGGCAAAAACCAAAGTTTTATTTAATATTATTTAGGCAAGACGCTGTGTTTAGTTTATGAAACTTAGAACAGCCAATAAGTTGAGGGCCCATCTGATGGGAAGCAACAACTGTTATTTACAAGACATGAATAGCACCATAGATGAGGACAGAAATATCCAAATTTGCCGCTATGTTCAATGCGTTGTTGCCGATCTTCCGTCGATCGAAGATCGGCACACAAATAAATCGAACAAACGCTGTGTGATCAAGAGCAGCTAACTGTATGCATTTTGACGTACTGAAGTTCCGTCACATATAACTGGCCATAAAAGAGACGTAAAACATGGCGCTAGCTGCAATGGGGTTCTGCCGCCAATGATGAATATGGTATTGAAGCGTACCTTGGGGAAGGCGTAGGCGATGGAGTGGACGCCGATCTCGGCCATGAGCAGCGACACGAGCGAGATGTGGTGCTCGGGCACGTCGTGGTCGAGCAGCACGCGCACGGCCATCAGCGCCGCCGCGCCCGTAGCCACCGTCGCGTCCAGCAGCACCACGCGGTAGTCCTTGATGTCCTTCGGCAGCCGCAGGTAGTACAGCTGCGACCACAATGTACACTTTCACACATGTCGTGCATGAGTCGAATCCGTGAGTTGGAATAAGATATCCGACGTTGCTATCTCATGGATTCACCAGCAACGTTGATTCCATCGATGAATTCGTTTACCACTTTTCTAAAGGGCCAAGGGAGTGATCAACAATAACAGCAAACTACGTAATCTACCCTGAATAATTTAAGTGACCGTTTAAATTCTAGTTCATGTAATAAGTATGATTTTATAAATATTATATCACCATCCGGCTCGAAGGATCATTAGGTCTTTTGAGTAAAATTGATTCAATAGAAACTATTTGTATATTAAAGTACTAAGAGGATTTCGTTCAATAATAAAATACACTACATTAATCAAAATACTTATATTTAAGTTAAAAAAAAAAAGAATTATTATTCTTTTTTTTTTCTAATATATTTTATTTGTTTCACTGTTTTTCTTACTTATAATTTTGGCGCACACATGTGTTTTTTTTGCTGTTACAAACTTGAGCAGTAAATAATTGGTTAACATACAATTTTACCATATGCGTTATTATGAGAATTATACATGAAAATTTATCCTACTACAATTATTATATTCGATTGCCTTGGTACAATTATTCTTCATACTCCTGGGCAGGTTACAGTATACTTTTCATCATGCTACGATCAATTGGAGCAGAGTAGTGAAGTGAAATGTTAGGAAAACGGGAGAAGTTACTCCATTTTTATGCTTCCGTCGCGTGTGCAGCCTTTTAATGGCCACTTTTTAAAATGTAAAAATGTCCACCCGTGCGACGCCGGGACGGGCCCCTAGTATTAGATATAATAGTTACCTCAGGCTCGTCGGTCTGCTGGTTGGTCTGTATGAGTATTTTGCCGATGCGGATGTCCTTGCAGACGTCGCAAATTGCCTGCTCCATCGTCTCGCCGGCTCGCAGGATCGACACGCCGCAGATCTTCTCCACGTCGCACTTGCGACCTGATCATAGAAGGTTCATCATCAATGTCGTTATAGCAACTTGCGAATGCTGGGCACAACTCTTTTCCCACCTTAGTCCTCAGGAATGGCAACGCATGGGGGGTATTATGGGCGAAACAGTATACTCTGTTATGTCCACGGTACTGCTCATGTCTATAGGCGACGGTTACCAATTTCCATCAGGTGGGCCGTCAGCTTGATTGCCATTCTAAGTTGTATAAAAAAAAATCTATTTCTTTGCGCTAAATCTCTCGTTAGGTAAATAGTCAAGGATCCCTCAGATAGAATACGGCCTTTCAAGTAGAAGATATCAAATTACAGACTCTAGGCCATTTGGTATAGGGTTTAATTTTGAATGGAAAAAGAGAAGAGGGAGGGAGGGAGAGAGGAAATAAGGGAATATGCTTTATTCATACCAAGATCTATATTCGAATTTTGGTACAATTTTTATTATTATTCTTTCTCATATATTATTTATTTAATACTCTATGTACACACTAATTATACATAAAAATATGACAGAAGTAATCAAATGTACAAAGGCAAGCTTAGCTCTAATAGAGTTCTCTTCCAGCAACATCCAAAGTATGTATTACTGTACTGTCCAAATCAATTTTATGTTTAATTAATTAATGAAATATTTATGCATCATTTATGTAAGTATGTATCTATATAATACAATTTTACTTTTGGCTGTTAGATTGGTTACACAGGTTTACACTCTGAGTTTGTTATACGCGTCCGTGTAGCCTAACTTCGAGCTGTAGCTGAAAATCAGTGGTTTGCTTTTAAGCAAAACTATCACTGAGCTGTAGTCTATTTGGGTCACTGCGACACACACGGTGAAAACATATTTTCATATTTCATCTTTTGTTTTATATTAAAAAAAATGTAACTAATCTGATTGTATAAACTCATTTGGTAATTTACGTGTGTCATAAATGGCTCAAATAAAGTGTTTATCTATCTACCTATCTATCTATCTACTGAGTTCTCTTCATCGCCTTATGACACATTGAAACCGAATTTTCATGGAAAATTTAGAAGCTAAAGTTACTAACACACCGTCGGACGCATCCATCAGTCGCGGCTGACAAAACTGAACAGCATGCATGGTGGTTCTATCCATCTCTCTCTCTCACCTTAGTAGGAGAGCAAAACAACAACAACGAACCAAACCAGTTCGTTGTCAGATTGTTATCTGATTGTTCAAGGTTCTTCCAAGGTCAGTCCGCGACTTTAAAAGCTAATGTACAATTTAATATAAAGTGCCTAGATGGCGTCCTTTAGTTCTGACTGACGGACGCGCTCACATCGTATGTTTGTAGCTTTAGGCCGGAGTTAAATCTTGGGGTTGCCAAAGAGATCTATACGAGATAGAATATGTAGATCAAGCATTGTACTGCGACATCAAAACTTACCCGTGTACGAGAAGCCCTGCGGCGTGTCGACGGTGTGCGGCGAGTACGGCAGCAGAGACAGCGCGAACTCGATCACGAGCCGCATCAGGCGCTTCGAGTAGAAGATGAACTCGTCCCGCGGCGTGTCCTTGTTCCTGATGAACGTGTGCAGACCCTGCACCTGCGGGGGGAACGGGGGGGGGGGGGAATATTATAAACGATATTCTAATAGTACCTGTTGACTAAATAAATCAATAGAGATTAAATAGATAGGTACTCTTTATTGTTTCCTCCAAAAGATTTTTTTTAGAGGGAGACTTTGTACAAAAGTCGATTGCTTGGGTACCTCTGTCTCATTCGTGTTTCAACCGTGAAGCAGTCGTGTTTGCATGGCTGTGTTTCGGTTTGAAGGGTGGGATATGGCGTGAATTTACTGGGTACAGAGGAATAACACACGAGTCCTCAGGAATGGCAACGCATGGGGGGTATCATGGGCGAAACAGTATACTCTGTTATGTCCATGGTACTGCTCATGTCTATAGGCGACGGTTACCACTTTCCATCAGGTGGGCCGTCAGCTTGTTTGCAATTCTAAGTTGTAAAAAAAAAAGATTACAATAGTAAACTTATTATAAACATAAATACATAACTAGAAGCCGAAAATATGATATTTTATTATTAGCATTAATAATAAAACTTTAACTGACCACTGCTGAACATAAGCCTCCCGTTTAGTTTTGCCAGCAGTTGCCACAATTGGCCATTGGATTGGCAACCGAAGTTAGGCTTTAGAGACATTTTAAGAAAGACATACAACTGACGAATATATGAGGTAATAAACATTAACAAAAGTACAACCGAATCGAGAACTTTCTTTTTGAAGTTGGTTAAAGAGAGTAAATAATCTAGTGCAGTGAGGAATCAAAAGACATATTATATTAAAAATCATTGCTCTCCCGTTGCTATGGTTACGAACTCCTTGATATGAAATAGAGTAATATAAAAAAAATTTCGAGTGTATTAGGATATATTACCTGTGGAGTGTCTTCCAGCACGTACAGCGAGTCGGGCACGGGCTGCCCCACGTGCGCCATAGCCAACTTCTCGCGCACTTTGAACCCGCGCTGTAACCAATTATTATGATTATCATCATATCACCCTTCAGCTAACTGTCGGGGGGAAGGGATTGTTAGTAATGGGGAGGTTAGTCCCCATCGCTATCAGTATACCTTATCGGATCGACCTCTATGCGGCTTCCCCCGGAAACCATCGTTTTTTTTCCAACTTTTCCGTAGTTCTAGACATTGCGACATTATTCGAGATTAATGATCTTTTTTTGTTTTAGATTACTAGGAGGGTTGAAATCATGGGTATGGTCACGTCAACCCCCCCACCTTCGTCAGAAGATAATTTTTAAATTTTTTTACTTTTTTTATTTTTTGATTTTTTTCTGTTCTCTTGTAATGTTAATAAATAACTAATAAAAAAAATACCATGTAATATTTTTTTTTTACAACACAGGGGGCAAACGAGCATGCGGCTCACCTGATGGTAAGTGACTACCGCCGCCCCATGGTCACCCACAACACCAACTGCATTGCAGGTGCGCTGCCGGCCTTTTAAAAGAGAATATGCTCTTTTCTTGAAGGTTATGATGTTGTATCGGTTCGGAAATACTGCTGCTGGAAGTTGATTCCAAAGAGTGGTTGTGCGTGGGAGAAAGTGCCTTGAAAAACGCGCGGCGGAGGCACAAATATAATATAAAACTCACCAACTGCAGTTGTTTATGCACGTGCTGCACAATGAGGTGTATGGCGACCTTGTTGTCGCCGCCGCGGGGCACTATGATGTCTGCGTGGGCCATGCACGGCGCTATATAGCTCTGGTAGGCCGGCTTCACGTGGGTCATGTACTGCTTCAGTACACCTTCCAGGTCGCGTCCGCGTTGCACTATGTCCCTGGTGGATTATTAATTCATTAAAAAAATCCGACTAACTCTCCGGTAACGGAGAATACCGATAACAACGAAATTAATTCGACTATACTGAATTTTAATATGCTCGGTGAAATGTTGCCATGTATTTTTTGCATCATCAGGTCAACCTCCACGCAGTTCCCCATGGAAACCATCGTGATTGGGGGGAAAGGGATTGTTAGTAATGGAGACTGAGAATCTCATTGCTAGCAATATACCCAACCAGGTCGACCTCCTCGCGGAAACTATCATGATTAATTCCAGATGAATTCATCATGATGGGCTAACGGCCTGTTTTCATCCTCATCGATCACCATTCACTGGTGCTCCGCCAGCGTATCCCGTTAGCGTAGGTGGGGTAACCATTCCATTTTCATCCAATAAAAAAAAACATCGTGACTAATTTATCGTTGAATTCGCCACGATGAGCTAACTGATCAACTTTTTCACCTTCACCAATCATCCCTCACTGGTGCCCCGCCAGGGTACACCGATAGCGCAGGCCATACCATTCCATTATCATCCATTTAAAAAAAAACCATTTAGGACTCACCTCCTCAGCCGCCTGCCGAGCCGTATGTCCGCGTCAGTATCGACGAACACTTTCATATCCAGCAACTTGACTACCTCCAGGTTGTAGAAGGCCAGGATGCCCTCGAATATTATCACGTTCGCGCCGTACATTGTTTTCTAGGGTACAACACACCCATATTTAGCCATATTTACATATACCAGAGGGAGACTTTGCACAAAAGTCGATTGCTTGGGCACCTCTATCCCATTCGTGTTTCTACCGTGAAGCAGTTGTGTTTGCATGGCTGTGTTTCGGTTTGAAGGGTGGGATATGGCGTGAATTTACAGGGTACAGAGGAATAGCATCCGAGTCCTCAGGAATGGCAACACATAGGTGATATCATGGGCGAAACAGTATACTCTGTTATGTTCATGGTACTGTTCATGTCTATAGGGGACGGTTACAACTTTCCATCAGGTGGGCCGTCAGCTTGTTTGCCATTCTAAGTTGTATAAAAAAAAATAAAAAAAAATATATTTTGGTAACATCAAAGGAAATTATACCTAATAAATATTTACAGCATTTTTTTTTATTTACTTATTTAAATGGCCCAGAGCAAGAGAGTTCAAAATAGCTTCGAGTCCATTTTTTAATCGCCTCCTCCTCTTAACTATCAATGCCCCCCTGTGGGGCGTGGGCCCCACGTTGAGAAACACCGGTATAGAACAAGTGGTGTACTCACAGTGCGGTTCTCCCTGGAGTGCGTGACGTAGTTGTATATGGGTACCTCGACCTTCTTGCCCTCTTTGAGCCGCTGCAGTACCGTGATGAGCAGCTCCATGTCGAACGCGTCCGGGTGGTCGAAGTTGTACTCGTTGCGGGTAGCCGCCTGGTGCTGCTTCTCGTTCAATACCTGTATATTGTTATAACTAGTCTTTATCCGCGACTTGGCCTGCGTGACCAGGATATCTTGGTTGACAAGGATACAAAATAGCCTATGTGTTTTGTCCATCCAAAATCACGAATGTCGTGATTCTTGTATAAGTAAATTAAGAGCCATACAAACACGTTACATCTAAGTGTTAACTTAGTATGAAAGAATGAAAGACTATTGACACCAACTGCATCAAGAAACAAAAAAAAAAAAAAAGAAAAAACAATAATATTAATATTCACAATTATAAAAAAGAACACTACCACAACAGGTCACCTCCTTCTTTTCCCGTGGGTGTCATAAAAGGCAACTAAGGGAACGTTCCACTTAAAACACCAAAAACTTAACTGTGGTTGCTAATTTGTGGCAACTACCGGCATAACAAACCAATAGGGGAAGGCATGTAGCAGTGGACAGATAATGGACAGATAATAACGATAGGACGGCGACGACATACCTTGTAGAAGGAGTCCATGCTGACAATAGTGACCCATGGTATGTTGAGAGACTCTATGATTTTCGTGGCGACCGTGGTCTTGCCGGATGCGCTCCCCCCGCATATACCTTCGAACAAAAAAACCTGCAAATGTATTCCAGATTTATTGAACACACATTTTGCATATGAATTTTTTTTTATACAACTTAGAATGGCAAACAAGCTAACGGCCCACCTGATGGAAAGTGGTAACCGTCGCCTATAGACATGAGCAGTACCATGGATATAACAGAGTATACTGTTTCGCCCATGATAACCTCATGCGTTGCCATTTCTGAGGACTCATGTGTTATTCCTCTGTACCCAGTAAATTCACGCCATATCTCACCCTTCAAACCGAAACACAGCCATGGAGACACAACAGCTTCACGGTAGAAACACGAATGGGACAGAGGTACCCAAGCAATCGACTTTTGTACAAAGTCTCCCTCTGGTGCATATTAAAACCATTTTCTTTTTGGTTCAAAAGAGACAGAATTTAGAGGGAATTCTTGTTCGTGCTGGAGTCGTCATTAGACTTTTCGGACTGTAGAGTTATAAGGCTAGGTTTGGTTAGGTCTTGGGCTTGTTACTACTACAGGCAGATGGAAAACAAATCTACTTTTAAAAAAAAACTGTTTTCGCTGCTGGTGAATCGATAAGTCATTGCGAAGCTTTACTCGTATTCTGAAGTGGGCACCAGACATTTTCGGGAAAGGCACAACCCAGATAGCTTCCTATTAAATACGCTAATGATTTGAGCTGTAACTTTATTGATAGGGAGGGGGGGGGGGGGTGAGATTGTGGTTATAGGTTCTAACAGCCATAATGCGGGAGGGGGAAGATTGTTAGTGATGGACTTATCAGGACGACCTCCACCCAGTTACCTTGGGAGACCATTGTAGTCAATAACACTGTTAAGTTTGTCATAATGGACCAATTTACCATCCTCACCTTTAACATAGACTAGTAAAGCTACCAGTTTCATTGCCAGCAATATACCCTGTCAGGTCGACCTCCACGTAGTCCCCCCTGGAAACCATCGTGCTGAATTCTAAATCTATTCATCACGATGGGCTAACTGACGTGCCTTTTCAATCTCACCTATCATCCCTCACTGGTGCCCCGCCAGTGTATACCGTTAGCGCAGGCGGGGTTACCATTCCATTATCACCCATTTAAAAACAACCTCCACGTGGTGACGTGATGGTGATGAGCTAAAACTATTTACTCACCAATCAGGAACGGCTCCACTTCCTGGCCACCCGTGCAGTTATACCAAGGCGGTCTGCCGGCTGTGTAGATGGTGCGCCGGTCCGCGTGCAGGATGCTCTCGGCGGTCGTACGCTTGTTGGACTGTGACATCGACGTGGTTCGGACGCGACGAGCGCGGGGCGATTTCAAAATATTTGAACCTGAAACAATAATATAGGAAAACGATGTTTAAAATACATAACTCTTAATGCATATAGAAATATAAGGTTGATAATAGAGGATCGTATTGTATTTTTTTTTTATACAAATTAGAATGGCAAACAAGCTGACGGCCCACCTGATGGAATGTGGTAACCGTCGTCTATAGACATGAGTAGTACCATGGACATAACAGAGTATACTGTTTCGCCCATGATACCCCCCATGCGTTGCCATTCCTGAGGACTCAGGTGTTATTCCTCTGTACTCTGTAAATTCACGCCATATCCCACCCTTCAAACCGAAACACAGCCTTGCATGGCTGTGTTTCGACACAACTGCTTCACGGTTGAAACACGAATGGATGGAATGAATGTATTTTACCACTACATCATATGTTTGATTTATATGATTAATTGAGTAGCTATTTTGAGCAAAAATAAAATGAATTTTTTTCAAAAAGAAAACGTTACTCAATTGGTTTGTATTTTTTTTTATCTTCTACCCCATAACTTCGTCACTTCTAAACCGATTTCGAAAATTCTTTTTTTTATATCTGAAAGGATATACAAAAAAGACTTCATTTGTGACAAAACCAGTTATTTAGATTCAAAAATGAAATTACTCGACCGATTTCGATAAAACTTCTTACAGGACCAATCTGCTAGTATAATCTTTGAGATAAAAAAAAAATCCATAACGCTTTAAAACTGACAAAGATAAAATAAAATAAAAAATACAGTCGAATAGAGAATCTCTATATTTTTGAAGTCGGTTAAAAATATACCAATTGTGGTAAACATCATTTGTTTATTATAATGTTGGTGATGCGTAGTACATATGCAGAGGTAGGTATAAACATATAGTTACGATTATGTTTATTTATTTGCAAAAAAAAAAACTACAAGATAAAGTAAAAATATGTTATTCTAAATTTAAATTTCTAACTACGCCATTTCAGTTACTATCTTCAATTTGTTATTGTTTTCTTATTTATACTACGTCCTAATTACTATTGCAAGACGGTCTCTTTCAGACAGACACTGCGACATTTCATTCTTAATTAGTATCTATATTTGTATTTATTTATTTTATTTATTAATTCTTTTTTGTACAATAAAACTTTGTACAAGTGGCAAGCTTAATGCTATACGGCATTCTCTACCAGCTAACCATTAGGTAAAAACAGAAAGTGTATGAAGGACAGATGTGGTGAAAAATATTTCAAAATTGTATATATGAATAAATGACAAAATATAAAATGATAAACATTTAGCATATCGGAAAATAAATATATGAATGAATGAGTATACTTTATTTGCATTATACATACATACATATCTGTCACGCGTGTCTCCCATTAGGGTAGGCAGAAACAATGGAACGCCAAATGCTTCGATTCAAACAAACCTCTTTAGCTTCTGCATTATCCAATATAGGAAATAAGCAAGACAATTTACAAAAGCAACGATACAATTGCATAAGTACAGTAAGGCGGTCTTAATAATTTGGGTAGGCATAATAGGTTTAGTTTGGTATGGGTCCCTGGACATATAGGATTAAAGGTAATAAAAAGGCCGATGTGTTAGCGTGAAAGGGATCAGAATCAAAAATAATAGGTCCCGAAACATATGTTGCACTTGCATTAAGTGTTGTTAACTCTGCCCTTGAGGAGTATGTGAGGAAAAAACAGCAAAAGGAATGGAGGACTTTGAAGGGTCTTAGACATTCTAAAAAGATCTTAAATGACAATGTTGAGGGATGGGATAAACTCATCTACAGCGGTGGCAGACAACTGGCAAGACTCATTATGGGTGCCTTAACTGGACATATGCCAATAAGGCATATACTACACAAGATGGGTCTATCTTCGAACACACTGTGCAGACTGTGCGGGGAGAAATCGGAATCCATGGAACACTTGATGTGCAATGGCGATTCGTTGGCAAGTATGCGTATGAGTCTACTGGAAACGGCTTATCCAGAGCCAGGGGACTACAGATATCTTAAACCGCGGGATATCGTTAACACACAGGATCTATGAAATGATGGTATAAGGCAGGGGGAAGCACAAAAGATCCGTATGGGTCGACGTGCAACGATTTAGCTGACCCCATATGCGAAAATAAGATAAAAAAAAAGGCGGTCTTATTGCTGAGAGCAATCTTTTTATAACAACCTTTTTTAATATATATAAATGGAACAAAAGAATCTGTGTTCGCTTTTTTAAAGTTCGCTGCTAATTCCTATCAGGGATAAAAAGTTTAAGATGTTCTTTGTAACGATGTTTTTTATCTTCTCAGGATATAAAATGTGTTTTCCAAAGGAGATATATCGTTTATGTATAAGTGGGCTACAGTCACATATTAACCCTTCTTTGCATGATTTGTTTATTGGTAAAATAAATGAAGGTGATATAATTCATGTTCAAAATTAAAGGAAAAATGGTTAAAAAATAAATTTGACAGCTATGCTTTTTTTTTATGCAATGGACATTAGAGAGGTTTCCAGACACGATCAACTTATAGTGAACTTGTTCTTTTATATAATTTTTGGGCATTCAATGTTATGATGGGGATTGCAAAGAAGGGATAAGTGCTGCGGCGTTTTTTCCTCACTGTGACAAAATCTGCAAACAGTTTTTGGGCATAAACCTAGTTGGGCTATGAACCATGTTATAAACATGACATTACTAGCTTTTACCCGCGTCTTCGCATGACCGGGATAAAAATAGCCTAACCTTTTCCATCCCATACAGTACCTGTATAACTTTTATAGTGATTGGTTAAGTTGTTAAGGCGCTATGAGGCAACAAACAGACAAACTCACTTTCACATTTATAATATTAGCAAGGACAAGGATTGATATAAGGTAAAATGATTTAATTTTAAACTTAGAATTGTATATTTAAAAGTTGATATTGCTTCGAAACAAGATTTTTGCTCCGCAAAGAAAAATTACAGCTAACACGAGCGTAAACCGTATAGACCGTAAAAAGAGTCATCGAAATGGGTAGACAATTTTCGAAGATATCGCATAACGTTAATAATAAAGAAAAAAACTTCTGATTGAGAACTTGCTTATTTTCGCTAGACAGAAAAATACAGTTAAAAGGAATGGACGCGTGGACAGTTCAAGTTGAGTGCAGGGCTTCTCAAACATTTTGAGTAGGGGCACCATTAAATTATATATATATATATATATATATATATATATATATATATATATATATATATATATATATATATATATATATATATATATATATATATATATATATATATATAATACTGTATAATAACACTGTGCACCTCAATATAAATCGAAATTTAATTAATTCAATTGATATTCGTTTAGATTTTATTTAAACAAATAATATTTTTTGGAATATAATTTACATATTTTAATTATTTATTTAACAAAAAACCTCAAAAGCGCTTCACAAATAAAATTAACAAACGTTTAATAATACAATTGTATGGCCAATAACAGGTTTTTCTAAATTAAATTCTGTACATTATATAGTTGACAATTGTTGAAGGAGAAATAGTAAAATAAACAAATCAAACAGGTAGGAAATCGTTGGCATCATAATATTTATACATATACGCAACACATATATACATTCAAATATATATATACATATGTATATATACCTAAATACACCTAATGAAACCCAGTAATGCAAACACAACTGTTTCACGGTAGAAACACGAATGGGACAGAGGTACTCAAGCAAAAGAGAGGGAGAGTTTGTACAAAAGTCGATTGCTTGGGTACCTCTGTCCCATTCGTGTTTCAACCGAGAAGCAGTTGTGTTTGCATGACTGTGTTTCGGTTTGAGGGGTGGGACATGGCGTGAATTTACTGGGTACAGAGGAATAACACCTGAGTCCTCAGGAATGGCAACGCATTGGGGGGTATCATGGGCGAAACAGTATACTCTGTTATGTCCATGGTACTGCTGATATCTATAGGCGGCGGTTACCACTTTCCATCAGGTGGACCGTCAGCTTGTTTGCCATTCTAAGTTGTATAAAAAATAAAAAAGACACGATTTTTGTACAAAGTCTCTCTCTGGTAAAATATCAATAAAATATATACATATATGTATCAATAAATACATACATACACACATATACATAATATAAACACATATGTATATATAATGGCTGTGTAGTCCCAGCATAGAATATGCCACCCCTTCCTTTCCCGTGGGTGTCGTTAGAGTCGATTAAGGGAGAGTTAGATGCGGGCAGCAATGTCCCTCTTAAAACATTTTTAAGGCCTAACTGCGGTTGCCAATCCTCTTGCCAAGCGTGGCAACTATTAGCAAAAACCCCCAAGGGGAGGCTTATGTTCAGCAGTGGACAGTTAAAAGCTAATATGATGATTATGGCATGGTATGATTGCGTGTACCATACTATTGAACATCAGCAGACCTATGGTTGAGTCAATTAATCATTTATTAACATTTCCATTAGCTTCTATTATATGAACACACTATTACAGCTGTTTGAGACCGAAGTATGTTTATAATGTGAGAAATAAAGGTCATTTTACAAAATCAAACCTCAAGCGTAGACATATGTTAACCACGTGTTTAGACAGCCCAGAACTTCGCTCTATTATTGCGAATAGTTGGTATTTTTTATCATCAATAGGATTCAACTAATCAATTAAATCAAACATTAAATAAATAAAAAAAAAAATCTATTTTAAATTAGCTGTGAAAATTATTATTAGAGTTTTAGTTATACATTATCTATGGCTGGAAATACTCGCCTATAAACAAATACCGTGCCTGACTCACCTAAACCCATTGGTACATAGCATAGCAACACATTTGAGGTCGTTACACTAAAGAAAATAAAAAATACTATAAAAATATATTTTACAAATACCTTTAAATTAAAACTGGCACTGAATAATTCAAATTACGACCACCAAACTTTATTCAATGACCACAGTTCAGTTGATTCACTTTTTAAAATGCAATAGA